TTGTGTTATGGACATTAAAATATGACATATTGAAAAACAATGGAAAAAAATACAAATCAGTTGTTTAGTCCGGTGCAGTGTCTATGAATAAATAGAATTAACTAATTGTCCTATTAAAATACAGATACAAAATTACAATGGTGTTGTGATTATTTTATCAATCTTAGTTCATCATGGAAGCATTTCCATCTTATGATATTTAATACCTCATTGCAACTGTATTGTCTGGTTTCAGACAGGGCTTAGATTAAGCCCGGATTAGGCCTTAGTTCAATTAGGACATTTATGTAGCTTTTATAAATGTGCCTTAGAGAAAAAAAACATCTTGAGACAAAACAATGGCATTGGCATATTTTAAGATATGTCAGTGCAAGTTGCTTTTAGTTAAAACAGCTCAGACATGCATTTTAGTTTGAGACTAGCCTGTTAGCTTTGTTAGCATTGATATGCTAGCAAACTGCTAAAAGCAGGTACATGAATTTAAAATGTAGTCTTTCTCTGTAAAATATTGACAGTGTATTAAAATTTTTGCTGTAAATTAGGCCTTTTTTTTCAGGGAGCATTCATGTCCGCCGAGAATACAGTTATGATCCGCAATCAAAATTCAGACAGTATTCACGTAACACAAACATCTGGAATAAGTTGCTCTCCAAAATGTAGGGTTCGTTCAAATACCTAACTGTTACGAATTAATCCACTGGAGGCAAGCTGGTAGAGAACCCAAATGCAACTTTACTTCAAAACATAACCAAACATAAAACCAAGACATGAAACAAGAACAACAACGAGAAACATTCGATACTAGACAAAGACACAGGGCAAACATGAGGGCTTAAATACACACACTAATTACAAGACAAGGAACACCTGTGAACAATGATCAGACGATTAACAAATGACAAGACACATGGCAGAATCACATGACAATCAGGGAATCACATGACAGACAAGAACAAGAAACAAAACCCACAACGTGACAATAACCATAATTATGAGTAATAGTAAAAACAAGTTAGCAAGGCTTCACTCGCTTCTATTCCTAGCTGAGTGGCATTTTCTTTTGAGTTTCCATTTTGCCGATTTCATGCGTTTCTCAGGCCGGTACATATGAGGGACCTGTTTTAATACGGGCAACCGAAGCGGTCTCACACTCTAGCCACTTAGCGTGATTACGTTACACATTAACTTTCTATGCGATGACCACTCAGCTTTTCTTTTATACTCAGGAATCAAAGGGATGAGTAGGGCCGGAAGGCAAGGGATTGCACCTATTTTCCGAGTTCACTCAGAACAAGCCCAGCGCAGGGCTGTGGTGAGCTCCCAGCAGGCGAACGATACTGCGCATTAGCATATTTCCCATCACACCGAGGGTAATTGAGACGTTTGAAGTCGGTTGTAGGAAGAGACCGTATCTGAGAGACGCAGAAGGAGGGGGACCTCACCACACACCGGGGGATATTGAAGTCAGACTTTATACAGGCTGCAGCTGTCTGTTTGTGACCTCGCTATTTTTGCTGAGAGGTGAAAGGTTAATGGTTTTATTTCCCCGCTGACTCGTTTTACTGTACTTGGAGAAAGGAAAGAGGGATGGAGGCTGTCTATATGATAGTACCGTCCGTGTGAAACTCTCTGTACATCTGAACCGACGCTAAACGGCGGATGACACAAAGTCACCAATCTCAATTGGTGTCTTTGGCTGAAAAGTAATACATTTTGACAGTGATTTACCACAGTAGGCCTATGTGAACACACACCAGCACATGCTTGAGGATGGAAGACTAAGTTATAAATCCAGATTTTATTTCTCTGTCTGCACTGGGCCGTAACCAAAAAGTTGCAATTTTAGGGTGGTCTTCCTCAGTGGTCGTCAATGTCAAAAATGTTTGAGATTGATGGCCAGTCAAATCAATAAAGGAGGGCTTTACTTTTCACAGAAGCTGAGGCCGAGCACGAATTCCAGAGTGAGTAGCTAAACATTAAATATTTGGCAAAGTACTCAACTTTTAGTCAAATTTAGAATGAAAAATATAGGCATTTACGTAATCATTTACGTGTTTTATGCAATTAATAATTGTCTGTCATGACAAGAAACATTAATGGATCCATTTTTAGTGCATTAGAAACATGATGACCAGTGAGTGTACATATTATTATACAAACATATTATTTGCAAATAGTATAAATGGATTACAATAAATTACTGTTCTTATACGGCTTTTCTTTTTATTTATTCCTTCAGGGTATATTTACATGACAACCATGTACTAAAAATGGAAAGATTTTCCTTTGCTTTGAGATGACGACATTGTCAAAACTAACCCGGTTCACAAGGATCTGCGAAAACAACTAAACACGCTGTGTTATTCATGCCAGGCCAGTAGTCGGCGAAAGTAGTCACTTTGTAAAGAAACACCAAGCGCCTGACTGAACACGTTATATGCATGACATCACCGTTTTCACAAATATGCGTTTTTGTTGTTTACATTAGAGACGTTAACGTATCGTTTTCATAAACTTGCACATTGAAACCTAATTTCAAAAGTTTGCGTTTTCAGGCCGGCAAAACACCATTGTCGTGTAACTAAACTAAACGGTAACTCCGTTTTTAGTTAAAAATGGTGTCGTGTAAACAACCCCTAAGTCTCTTTAAATACTTTAATTCCTTTAAATAAAAAGATTCCCCCATAAATGACTTTGGTCCCTGTCTGTCTCTATCTCACACAGGAGATGAGAGAGGAAACAGTATGTCTTTTGTAAGCTTGTATGACGGCAATCCTGTGTGCTCCTCTCTGTTTCATAAATCAGATCCTGCACTGGCAATGAGCGGTGGGGGAAAGAGGAAGCTGACAGGAGCATTTCTAGCTCTCCACAAGCTATGTGGATCAGCGTACTAGTATACTGTCCATGCTATTTCTGCAGTAAACTCTGGGAATTATGTTTTCTGTATACTTGGATGACTTATTTGCCAAAATGTCCAATGTGCAACAGTGAAGTCCTAACCGGAAACAAGTTAGTTCGTTTGGTGGCTAACGCTAACTTCCTAATGCTACTTTATAGAATGTCTCAAATTTGCCAAGATTAATGCTTCCCTCAAGTACACCTGTGAAACTCGTACTTCAGAGTCGGGCATTTGTTATTACATGTCACACATTCAAGTCGTAAACATAACATAAAATTAGCCTAAACCATGCAAAATTATTATATTGTGAATAATAAACCTAACTCACTGTGTTGAAAAATATTGATTTCTGTCACTTTATACATGGTAAAGTGAAGCAGACACAGCAATAGCGAACGACAACGATCCAATCAAATCCCAATGAACAAAATCAAGTCCTGCCCTTCCATTTTTCTTCTTGTTTGAGAGGCGTTTCACTCAGATACATCACAATAGGGAAGAAAAGACGAACTTCTGTTTCATGCCGACTTTAACACAATTTTCTACAACTTTATTCCAGCCACTTATCTCAGATTATAGGCTACATATCTGTATTATATATTAGTGTTTCCACCATGTTTCAAATTGGCACACCTCTGACAAAGCCGTAACATGCATCATTGAGAATTCAGTTTGAAGTTGAAGGTCACTTGAAGGGCACATTAGCATGCTACTGTATGAAATGTTTAGTGTTGTATAGCCTATATTCTGTTTTAAAAAAATTGTAGGAAGGATATAGTGTGGAATTCAGAAATTCTAGTGTTCCATTCAGACATAGCTTTTGTCATTTCCATGTGTCTACTTCCTCACTCTTTCTGTATACTCTCCATTGAGATGTTTTATTCATTGCTTTACATCTGTTAAAATTCATGAAGCAGGACAGGGCTAAATCCCTGCGCTTCTCCTCAGCCAAGGATGTATTCCATCAAGTGCAGAGAGGGGCCAAAAATTCCACCTGTGTTTCCACCCAGTAGCACTTAAGCGTGACACCTCTGGAATGCTCAAACTTGCAAACAAATCGCTCTGCAGAAAATCAGCCTGATTCGCCGGAAGTAACTGCATGGTAAGAAACCAGACTTTGCTGCATGCTTCAATTGTTTAAAATGAAGCGTAATGGTTGTTACTAGGCATGAAATTGGTGAATCATGTGTCAGATACATGTTGAAATATGCTGGACCTTGTGGTGTTATGACAAAAGTTTGGCCACTCATATGAAATTTGATGCCTTTAATATGTTACAGTTTAGCCCAATATAATGGGTATTTGAAAGCGTTATAAAACATGAAATCACAATTGACTGATTTTACATTATATTATGAGTGAATTATCAGTAGGTCTACATTATTTTAAAGAAGAAGAAAAAAAAGTTTTAAGTTTTTAAAAATATATTATTTTGAAAAATACTTTTAAATATGTTTATAAATGTAAATATTTGTCATATTTTTGTGGTTACTTAAACATAATGTTTTGACAATTTATAGAATTTCTGCTTAACTTAGCCTCCCTAAAATGTTATTGTGAAAAAAAACCTTTGGAAGGGTTTATGGCCATCCGTAAATCGCTCATTTGACTCACTCATAATAAATAATGGCTGAGATGTTGTGAACAAACACACTGGCTTCAAATAACATCATATCTTTTGTGTTTAATGCACTGTGATTCACATGCAAGTTTTATAATGGGTTTCTCAAACCTTCAACAAAGTTTAGCCCTCTTATAATCTATGCTGTGTGCAGACTATTTCTCCATAGAAAATTAATACTACTTTTGAGATCTAAAACACTCTGTAGTACACCAGTCCATGTGAATCATATCACGGCGCTGTTAAATTAAGACATGAAAATCCGCACAAATGTATCTTCACGATGAGCAACGTTTTCATTCCATCTGAAAAATCTCATTAAGACTCGAGCTTCTGTCCACGTGTGTGTGTGTGTGTGTGTGTGTGTGTCTGTGTGCACGTGTTGAGTGTGAGAGAGTGGAAAACAGTGACCTAGCTGGGTTTTTTTCTGTCCTTTAAGACTGTTGCTTGTCAAATTTCATAATGTGAGCCGGGTGAGATATTGTGTAAAAGCCAAGGCAGGCAGTTTTTGTTTTGTCTTTTCCTTTAAATAAATTTGAATGCTCAAATACCAATGTTAAATAGTACAACACACAAACCTTTGCGCTTGTAAAGAAAAATAAAGTTGGTGTCTGAATGTCATAGCTTGAATGAAAGAAGGAATTTGTGAATTTTTCTGAACAAACTTGAGGTAAATTGTGAATGTGAAAAGAATGCTACATTTTGACTAACAAGATTGCAGATTCTCTTGAAAAATCACTTACGATTCCTGATTCTTGTCTAAATAGTGGCTAAAATCGTAAAGTGTGCACTCGATTTAGTGGTTTGCGACTAGGTCAGTGTAAGTGGTGATGGCCCGTTCCATTGAGAGGAAGGAAGATTTATGCGAAAACGGTTCATTCCAGAAACCTCCCTCTGGAGAATTCAAGTCTGTAGAGACCGAGGCAATGGCTTTATTTTGGAAGAACCCAGTAAATCCTCTTCTTCTTTCCATGTAATGACCACAAAAGCCGCTTTTTATCCACAGTATATTAAGTTATCTATAAAACCACTCACACCATCTAAATGTTGTCATCCAGGCTCCCACATAAGGTCCATTTTCTGGTCCAGTTCACTGCTGTCCGATCCGTTTAGTGTCAGTAGAGGGCAGGAACATCATCTTTAGTGTCTCCACAGTGTCGAAGCAGCTGATGGGTCACCATCAAGTCTATGCTAGGAAAGCTGCTCCATCTCAAACTGGGTGTGTCCGTTAGCGGGCGCATTGGCCCAGGCCTCAGGCGCTCGTGGGTGTGAGTGGCTGGGCTTCAGGGGGTCTTCTGCGGGGCTGTGCGTGTGGATTAAAGAATCCGGGGACGCTGGGTCAGGTGGTTTGTGGTCGTAATACAGAGCCCATAGTAGTGTCACAGTCAACGTCATGGCTAAGATCTGGGCCACTCCGATCGACACACCCAAGAACCTCAACACCTGCAACTGCTTGGTGCCCCGGATAAAACTGTAGATCTTGGGACCACAACCCTGTTGAAAACAAATGTAGTATAGTTCTGTCAATATGAAATCAAATGGACTTTTATTTATATATATATATATATAATGACTATTCATTTTCTTATGTTTCATGTTTCTGGGTTGGAATATTCAAAAGGTTGGAAAATTGGGTGTCATTGACTTTAATCTGTAATTGGTGGAAGATTTATCAACTTTTTAGTTATCAACAGTTTTTTGGTTTTTAACAATCAACAGTTTTTTAGTTTTTATGTATTTATTATTTTATTTTATTTATTAGGGCCCAAGCCCAAAGGGCGAAGGCCCTATTGTTTTCCTTAGGATTATTTATTATTATTATTATTCTTATTATTTTTCTGCTACCTTTTGGACACTTTTGGAGGCCTTAACATGCTCAAAAACTCCTGAAACTTTGCACACTGGTCAGAACCCGCGGCCATCAGGGCCGGGCTGAAGATGGTACCCGGGCGTGGCAGGGGGGCTGGACAGCGCCCCCTGGAACGGGGTCCGAAAACATGGTCCATAAATCAAACACGCTTGCATGTAATAATATGAAACTCGGTACACATGTAGATCTCCTCGTTTCATATATACTTCACACTCTTACTTTTTACCCCAGCCCAACAGGAAGTCGGCTATTTAGGGTTGTTGGTAAAACACACGCAATGGAATGTGAAATACTCCTCCTAGAGAATTCAAACAAACGGCACGAAACTCGGTCAGCATGAAGTCAAGACATTGAGGATGAAAGTTTGCGAGGGGATTTTTGATATCTCGAACGGTTTGGCCGTGGCGAGGAAACAAAATTATGGCGAGAAACGTGAAACAGGAAGTGTGTCATAACTACTGCATACATTAACTGATCTTGATGAAACTTCACCAGTGTGTTCGTTGTAAGAGCCCGATCACATGGATGTGACTATTGTGAGTCAAAGTTATAGCGCCACCAACTGGCAGAAGGAAGTGTGTCACTTCCTAAATGCTTTGAAATCACCCTCTTATTTTTACCCGATTTGCTTCAAACTTCACTACTATAATGTAAACACACGGCAGATGTAGACCTGTGAATGGATTCTTGATATCTTAGATACTGTTGTCGTGGCAACGCATCAAACTTTAATATTCTTTTTTTATGCTTTTGAGACTCTTAGCATGCCTGAAATTGCTTAAAATTGCATGAAACTCGACAGACACATCTCATTTATTAGCCAGTAGACATGTGCAAAGTTTCAGAAACGGGCGTGTTGAGGGCTCAGTAGCGCCACCTTTTGTCAAAAGTGGGGGGATTAATTTTATCTACAGTAATAAAAATCGGTATGTGTATTGTTCTCCTCCAGCCAGACAACTTTCTAATTTACACTCAATAGCTCCAACCAACAGGAAGTCAGATATTTTGGTTTGAAAATTGTCATTTTATGTCTCTCTCTCTCTCTGAGCCTACGTCTCTGTGTGTGTGTGTGTCTGTGAGTGTGGGGAGGGGGAGGGGGGCTAGATTAACCATTTGACTGCTGTGTTGTTTGGCCTGCATTAAAAAAGAAAATAAATGTCTTACGCCTTGTATTTTTTAAATAAGTTGTATTAATAAGTAATCGCATATAACCAGTTGAATTGTAGTGCATTGAAAATAGTTTTATATAATTAGTTTATTAATTAAATTAACTTGGTCCATAAACTTCGTCAGAAAATTTGGTCCATAAATCAAACACACTTGCATGTAATATTATGAAACTCGGTATATAGATCTCATCGGGCCAAACAACTTTAAGCCAGCCCAACAGGAAGTGGGCTATTTTTGTCTTAATGTGGATGTTTTGCAAAACCAGGCTCTACATTTTTACCCACTCCTCTTAAGTGGTTTATTTTATTCCCACCAAACTTTTTCAACATGATGAAAATACATTAAAGAAGCATAATTGTGAATATCTATTGAATATCTCTAATTGTTTTGCTATGGCGAGGGATTAAAATCATGTAAAAAAAAAATAAACACTAAAAGCCTCATATCTTCTAAAAATTTAATTATACACCATTTATTTCTAGATAAAATTATACAAATATCACAACTAAACCCATTTTATTCTTGTTTTCAATTTAAGAGTAATGTACAAGTTTAAAAACAGCCAGGATGCACTATTCAGTTAAAAAAATAAATATATCAAATAATACATAGGGCTATACTGCCCTCTTGTGTTCAAAATCAGGTAGGCCTATTGTATTTAAATATATTAGGTAGCCTATGTGACTCCGAGAATATTTTCTCACCGGTTATTTGACGTGTAAAACGTGTTAAATCGCTAAGTTAAAAGTGAAAGTAAAGTAAGGACGTCCGCACGGACATTTATAGTGGTGGCGCTCACAGTGCGCTCGAATGAATTTCTATGGAAGTAGAAATGAAAAAACATTCGCTCTGTTTTGCTCGCTCGTCGCCATGGACGCGCACCGTTATGAATTCCAGTGCAGCCGCATACTTTTTAGTGTCACTAAAATTAGCGCCATATCGGGGACCGATTGCTTCCGGTTTTCAGGGAAAAGACAACAACAAAAGAGTAAATGACAGATTCGCTTATATAGGCGCTTTTACACAAAATATTCCGTCATAATTTTTCCAGTCAGCTCTTCACTCTCGTGATTAATGAATTTTGACTCCTGTTGCTGATCTTTGCTGCAACTTTCGTTCTGCTCACAATTTAGTAAGCAAATACGTTCAAGTTTTAATTGTAGTGACTAAATGATTTTATTATACACACACCAAATTGACGGTGGGGGGCCATGGTATATTTAAATCTGCCAATTGTAATATCTGCTGGGCACCCCTAGTCTAGTCTTATTAAATGTATGCTTCATCTTTCATTTTTAATTTGTAAATTTGATCAATAAATTCAATTATTTAGAATAATAAGACACTATATGGCTGTTACTCTAGGTAGGGGTGATCAAATTAAATCGTTTACACTGAAAAATAACAATGCATTAAATAATGTGAGATTGTTTTAAATATGAGTTGGAAAGAATGATACTTTTAAACATAACACTAAACCGTCATTAGGTGTCGCCAGGCGACCGTCTTAATGAGTGAGTCATTGATTCATTCGTTCAAATGATTCGTTCGAACGACTGAGTCATTCATGAATGAGACAATACATGTTTATGGATTGGTCATTGAATCTTTGAGTCAATCGATTCGTTCAAAATGCTGAATCATTGTGTCTCTTACAGCGACAAGAGTTTAACCCTTGTTCAAGTTTAAGGCCTTGTCTTTTTGGATATATATCTTTTTTTTAAATTCCAAAATATGCATACAACCCATATATTTTAAATGTATCGTTTGCTTTAAATTAAATTAAGATTGTATGTTTGGTAATTTAACCTGAGATGAATGTGCTATATTTCAGATCAATATATTTGTTTTCCTTAAAATTTGAACTAACACTAACTTTATTCTCATCTGAATTATAAATAACTTATTCCTGTATAAAATAAAAACACATTAGAATTTTCTTTTTTAATCAATGTAGAATGTGTAATTGAAAAATAAACAGATTAGGGCTCTGAGGACAATAAATGAAAATCAATGCGATATGGTGAATGTCCAAAAGATGGCTCCCACAGACTGTTTTAAATGGGGTTGGATAAATATTTTTTGCTTTTAGACAGTGTGTGCGTGTGATTTTAGTTGGGTGACAGTTGTAGGTTACAGTTTGACAAGAGTTTATAGTTTGACAAAAGCACTTTGTTGTGTTTTATTGCGAGTGTACACAAATATAAGTAAACACTTTGCAGTTTGAATGATGTCCTCTATGAACAAAATGACGGAGTATGTTTTTATGTGTAACAGTTCAATCGCACCCGCACCCGCACCCGCACCTCACCCACACACACACACAGACACACAGACACACACACACACACACACACACACACACACACACACACACATATTGAAACCTGAGTGAAGTACAAAGCCCATAATGAAGAATAGTTTAGCATCCAAATACATCGCAAATGTTGAAACAGTTTGATTCTAATGAGAGAGTTACGTGAGCCAAACACCACCTACTTTCACTTTCGCTTTCAATTATTTCGGTTATTTCTTAATTATAGTTTTTTTTTATTCTTGTTCTGTTCTGAATATCATTAAATTTAAAGAATTGCTTGTGTAATATTTTGAGTGTATCATCAAAACAGATTAATTCTCTCGGTTTAGTGATTCCCTAGTTATTTTTTTATTGTTTTCATTGTTCTAATCCGGTAAGGCAAGTGATATATATATATATATATATATATATATATATATATATTTTTTTATATATATATATATAATTTATATATATATATATATATATATATATATATAAATATAGCTGCGAGCAGCGATGAAGGGCCAAAGCCGGCGGCACCGCCACCCCGGTGCCTTTAGGTAACTAAAGGAACCGGGGTTGCGGTGCCACCGGCTTGGGCCCGTAATCGCTGCTCGCAGCTATATTTCTTTAATTATCTTCCTATCTTGGCCAAAATATTTTGGCCTATACATTTTTAATAATTTCTTTCCTGGTTTAATGCAGCTCTAATAACATAATTCTAAAGAAATTTTTGAAAATACTTTCTTTTTTCCCTGATATCAGCCTGATATCATCTGATAATTCTTACTTTACCAATAGCCAGGTGGCTATTTAGCAATTGTTTTTAGCAAATTAGCATTAGCTACCTTATGACATCATGCCCACTTTTCACAATCCAAACAATTCCCAATGGATAAAATCAAGTGTCCATTTACATTTTTCTCTCATTGCACTTCTTGTTTCAATATTCAGAATTCCAAAAATTCTAATTATTTATGTCAGGCCAGTCAAAAAAACAATGTGGAAAAAAGCCTTCTAATAGATCACTGTTGTCTCTTCACATTAACTGGGATGTGAAAAAAAAAAATCACACTTCTGCTTTAACAGTTTGTTTTCATGTAAATCTACTCTACAACAGCTGCCACACTAATATGTGAGCAATGTGACCCGTTCATCCGCTCGCGTGTGTGCCTGCGTGTTTTGGGGTATTTCCTATGTTGAAGTGTGGAAGAGCAGGTAAACTATTTCCTGCTAGTGAGGGATTTATACTGTGGAGTAATTCCTCTGTCATCCACTCAGAAAGAGAGACAGGAAGTGTGTGAGGATCAGACTCGCTCCACACCCTCAGTCCTTCACTCCTAACTCTCCCAATAGTGATCAATGTTCCCGTCTTATTAAACAAAGCCCTGCTTTCACTCTTCTGCTGTGGGACCTGTTTGAAAGGCTGGGCTCTGCTGGCTGTTTTACCATAAACAATAATGTCATGTGTTTATAATGTCCGTCGTTCTGTCTATAATTCTATTGTTTTATCTTTTGCTCTGTCTATCTCTATCTCCCTATCTATCGTTCAACCTACCTGTCTGTCTATCTGTCTATCTATCTATCGTTATTTATATCTCTGTCTATAAAAATAAAAACTTACTTTATCCTATGAACCTACAAACTTCAAAGATTTTTAAACATTTATTAAAACCTTCAAAGACTTATCAGTAGTGTGGCAGACGTGTCACAGGCAGGGCATCTGGAGAGCAGGGTGCTGGATGAGACACTGTTGTGTTTGTCCTCCACCGTGTGTTTTAGGACTCCACACACAGGTGTGTTTCTGAGCTACGTGACTGATTTTAATTGCACTGCTGGAGTCGCTCATAACACTCACTGGCAATACAGCTTGATTAAAAACACGCTCAGCAGGAAAGTGAATCTCTCCGCTGTCTCGCCTCACTTTTACAAAGTCACGTTTTAATTAGGGCTGTCAATCAATTTACTTTTTTAATCAAATTAATCGCATGCTATTCCACATATCAATATTTGCTAAGCCCCCAAATTAAAATGAGATTATTGTGACAGATGAGTAAATCATTGAATAGACATCACAAAACGTGACTTTTAGAAGTCAATATTGCATTCTTTTTGTTTTCATATAATTGAACATACGTCTAACACTGGTTCACTGCAATCATTTAGCAAAGTTATCAATCCAGGTTAGACATGGCAATATTTTTTAATTATTTGTCTATGTACAAATGCAGACGAACATCTTCAGGTGTTGCATCATAACTTGACACGTGCCATGAGATGCCGTTGGACCACTTGTAAGAAGACCCCTCTTGTGAGTACGTTTATTATTTCCAGATGTTGAATCAATAAAGCTCACCTCCTGGTAAAGGTCACTGAGGTCATGGTAGTGGGCATTGCGGGCGCACCCTGGATATTGATTGGAGCAGCAGGAGTCAGGTGGCCACTCCATCTCTGTCATTTCCAGCCAGTCAGTGAAGTAGATCACTCCACAACACTTTAACTGTAAGGCAGGTATGAAAGTTAGCACATTTTCATTCTACGCTCAGTGAAAGGAACTATTTTTGATGTATACATATATTGGCCTGTGTATTCCATGCATATAGGTTTTCATATTATTTTTTCACATATCATTGCTGCACCTCTCCTCCCTTAGTTCCGGTCTCTATGAAGTCCCTCGCGCAACTTTCAACGAACTACAAACGCAACTCAACTAGGCCTTGTCCCCTTTTTTTTGCGTATGCCTTGGGCGAGAATTATTTAAATGAAAAGAAAAGGTATTTCAGAAACAGTCCTTAGATAATAACTTCCTAACTTTGCTAACCTTTTTCATGTTCAAACAGCAACATTACACTCTAAAGAAAGTTGAAAAAATAAAAAATAAAATAATCATCATAACAGTACCCCTTTAAACATCAAACGTGGTCTGATTGACTGCTTGGATTCACTCAGCATTTCTGTCTTAAGTGACACCAATAAAATTACTTGACACCAACTTGTCGCATTGTGTGTGGTGTTGGATGAGGTGTAATACTGGTGATGATTTTGACCTCTCACCTCAGTCTGTAAAGAGTTCCAGGCATGCGTGAGCCACTGGTAGCGCTGCAGGCCAAAATGAGGCATGCGTGACTTTAGACTTATCATATCAGACCTCTGTACCATAGGCTGAAGAAAGAGAGAGAGGGGGAGTTATGGAGAAATATTCATGAAGAAATCATTTCACAATTTTATAAGCCCTTGTAATTTTATAATCACATAAAAATAATTTCTCTACACTGTTATTAATGACGTTTTCTAAATAACAAAAAAAAAGTGTTTTCCAGGAAGTTTAAAGGACCATCCACACGCCCACACGTCCAATTTTAGGCTCTCTTGTGACCAATTTATTGGCTAGCTATGAAATACCCTATTCACAAGTGCATGCATCTGTTGTTTATATAGTCATTGGTAGGGATGTAACGATTCACTCATCTCACGATGCGATACGATTCACGATACTGGTTTCACGATACGATTTTCTCACGATTTTTTTAACAAATGCGATTTAAGACAAAAGTGTCCGTTTTATTATTTCTCAGACAAAATGCTGCACATTTCTTTTTAATTTAAAATATATTTGTCAAATAATAAAACTACATTAAAAAAATTCCCTTCAAGGTTGTTTCAACTCAGTCTTTCTGTCTGTTTGGTCAAGAGGCTGGACACTGGTACCTTCGCACACTATGTAAAAGACTGTGTAAAATTAGTAGTACCAGATTGACAGGGGTTTTACATTGTAATAAAGGCAAGATTCTAATTTTGTTATAATTTGTATCATTACACTAGTAAGAGTAAAAAAAAAACACATTTAGAGAAAGAGATAGTAAAATAAATACAACACCTGGTTGCCACGGAAACACTGATGCACCTTGTGATCTCCGTGGCTCTCGCAATTGTAGTATTAATGACTTTTACATGAAAACGGAGGTGACTGGTGTTACTCACGGTGGTGATTATTATTAGTCTACGGAAAGTCAAAATGCCGCCACACCTCCGATTTGAATGAGTCAACGTCAACATCTACGCTTGCCGTCGCCAAAGCCATGTCTACTGTTTGACGGCACGTGCACACCAGTCTATGGCACACACTGGTGCGGCGCGAGCGGAGCAAACCGAGCGTTTTCAGTTCATTCCTATGGAAGTTGAGCTTGGCTCACACAAGATCAAGTTCCATGAATGAAGTGAAAACACTCGCTAGCTTCACGCCAGTGTGTGCTCGCTGCTATTGTGCTATTGTAAAGCGAGGTTCACAACTTCACAGTAGGCTATAGTAAACGCGCCCTGCTGTTTAAAACGTGTATCGCGATTCGTTTAACATTTCAACCGACTTGAATCGTCACACATTTTTATCGATTTTCAACCGGTTGCGAGTGAATCGTTACATCCCTAGTCATTGGCATTTTACAATTTAGTCCTCATGAGACATTTCTGTCTCATATGATGGCCAAGTGATAAGTACCCACAATGCCCGGAGGTTAGGATTGTCATCTCTTATTTTGGGTAGCAGAACTTGCTAAAGCAGGATAGATTGAAGTCAACATGAAATCACAATTGACTATTTGAAAAAAAGATTCCCTTTTAAGGTTTTATTTTTTATTTTTTTTACCAGTATTAAAAATACTGTTAGGTGCATAAACATGCATAGAAATATAAAGTTGAAGGATGAATGAATGGATGGATGCCATTGGGATGGCAACTTTTCTCAGTCCAATCCAATTCTAATTTATAAAATTAAGTCTCATTCTACAGTTTTTTTTCTCAATAACCAGTTTCACTCTGAAATAAGTCACATTTTGGAAATAAAATGGATTGCGAATGCCATTTCATGTTGACTCTAAACTGAAGAAAGTTGGAATGGCTGCACTGTTGATACTGATAACATGTAACCAGGCCAGGTGCAGCAGAATAAACAGACTCGTTGCCTTTACGCCCACAGGGGTCACATTAGGCCACAACAGCACAATAGGACCATCAAACCCAGCAAAGGTTTTGGGGTTTGTGATAAGAGCGTATCTTGAAGCAGAAGCTGTGTATGTCTGAGTGAGAGAAGCTAGATTAAAGCCAGGTGTGAGTGATATCTTCCCCTTGAGGTGCGCCTTATCTCTCGTATCCCTGGGCTAACAGAAGCAGATGCTACCTGCAATCCCTTTCCCCTTGCTGATCAAATCTTTTAGTCTGCACAGATCCAGGACAGGTTTCTGTAAAGCCTGATGCTAATCTGGCTTCAAGAGCCAACTAGAGCATTTACATAGGCGACTCCATCCTCTACCCGCACACGAAAACACTCTGCTTATTAACTCCCCAAAAGGAAGTCTGCTTGAGTCGGGCTTTTGAAGTCATAATAGTTAAGATTAGACCGTAAGCAGGCGGTTCAGAAATCAGATCCTCATTCCGTTTTCTCCTGGGAATGGCCATGTGGCGGCCGTGTTGTTGACGTGAGAGAGGGAAGAGAGTTGGCATTTCTGTTTATTCATAGCACCACGCACCTCGTCATACGTCCACACTCCACTGGCCAGCTCCACGCAGAATATCACCATCAGACTGCCAAAATACTGGGAATGCACACACACACATACACACACACACACACACACAAAAGAAAAGGTTTGGTTAAAAATATCTTCTTAAACAATAGGGCAGAAGGAAGGTGTTGATGATCAGACATAGAGAAATGAGACCAAAGTGTGTGTGCTTGTTCATGTATGTTCGGATCTGGATTCTGAGGTCTGTTTTGTCTCTCAGGTCTTCTCTCGGGAGTTTCGAGCAATTGTGACAGGCTGTGTTCAGAATAGCATAGTAGTCATGCTATTTTTGTAGTATCCCATTATACAATCCACCCCATTGCAAATAAATGTATAATGTAAATAATATATATATATATATATATATATATATATATATATATATATATATATATATATATATATATATATATATATATATATATATAAAAAAATTTAAAGTTGATAATTGGATGTCACTTGAAGACTTAAATATGAAACATAACAGGAACATAGTGATTACAATGTAGCATAATACTAGTTGAATTGTTTATTTATTAAAGGAGAACTCTGGCGCAAAATGAACCTTTGGTCTAATTACACATTGTTACCTAGTCAACCATTATCTGAGATTTGTTTTCATGATTATCGAATGTAAATAGTTTTATCTCTAAAAACAGTTTAGCCTATAAAGCTAGTATAACGCTAGTATATTGGGCATAGTGTAATGACAAATAAAAATCGCTTGTTAATACCACTAACAAGGCTCAAAATAGCCCCACACTAACACGGTAGCATAATGAGGGTCCCGACCTTCAAACCGAAGCATTGAGAACTTTGTCAGTGTCCAGACAGTTTAATAAGAAGATATTTTATACATACAGTCAACTTCGCGTATACAGGCAGAAGCCATCTTTGAAAAACAGTCTCTACCAGTTGATCTACGAACGCCGATCCAAGTGCGCTGGTGAGATGTGAACGAGCTATAAGTTGTGATAAGGTGAGCGCGAACAGCAGGCTTGGATCGGCGTTCGTAGATCGACTGGTAGAGACTGTTTTTCAAAGATGGCTCCTGCCTGTATACGCGAAGTTGACTGTATGTATACAATATCTTCTTATTAAACTGTCTGGACACTGACAAAGTTCTCAATGCTTCGGTTTGAAGGTAGGGACCCTCATTATGCTACCGTGTTAGTGTGGGGCTATTTTGAGCCTTGTTAGTGGTATTAACAAGCCATTTTTATTTGTCATTACACTATGCCCAATATACTAGCGTTATACTAGCTTTATAAGCTAAACTGTTTTTAGAGATAAAACTATTTACATTCGATAATCATGAAAACAAATCTCAGATAACGGTTGACTAGGTAACAATGTGTAACTAGACCAAAGGTTCATTTTGCGCCGGAGTTCTCCTTTAATGTCTCCAATATTAAAAAGTAGTATGCTCAATATGCTTGGGTGGATGGAACAAAAGAGAATCTTTCAAAGTTTTTTGCATTCGCACATACACAGATTTTGTATTTAGGGCAAACTAACACATCCATCTCATCTCCTCCCTTCCTGAAGACAAAGACACTCTGTCTTTCTCAAAATCTCTTTAACGTACATAGTTCCCCTCGGTTGAACACACACTTTGAGAGAGATAATCAAGATGAATGACAGTGTTAGGAGCCGCATTCAGAGCAGACCCCGTCTGACAGCTTGTTTATTTGGGAAAATCTAAATATTTGTGCCTATTCTACGCCTGTGTTAGCATTTCAGCTAGTTTGTTAGACGCTTACCACAAAAAAAAAAAAAAAAGACAACCGTCTTTTTCTCTACACACCCTTCCCTGCTAATATCTGCCCTTCAAATATGTCCAGTGTGAACTTGTAACCCCTGGAAGTTCCCAACAAGCTGGCTCATCTGCAAACACACGCACATTTTTCTCAGGGTAAGAGAGGTTACATTCTCTCAGCGACCTCTCGGTTTATTGATTTGTTGAGAGTTTTACTCTTCCTCTTCTTAACACTCACACATTTTTTGGCAAGTACTGTTACAGAAAACAGGACACTGTGAAATGGATGGATTTCCTTTTGACCGGAACGATTAACACCCCCTTTTTCACTTAGTCATGCAAACAGAACGAGAGTTAGATGCATCTAGAGTCTAGTATTAAGTCGTATCAGATATGTTTTGACAGATGGCTACTGTTAATGTCATTAAACTGGTGCTTTTGGGTATACTTAAAGTTAGAGATTTGAACAAACGATGCTATGGACACGATGGACGCCTCAAATATGTGCTATTAGTTTTTTTTAAGTGATTAGGGATTCATAGTAGCCTGACGTCATCATACTCAGATTCTAGTCAGAATGTGAGTCTGATACTGCTCCATTGGGCTGTGATTATGGGGCGTTTCAACCGAACCAGGAAAGAAAATGCCTCTGGACTCAATTGGATCGACAAATGCCTTGATCGAGGTTCTCTGTTCCTCTTTTAAAATAAATGCGCTGTCTACATCTTCTATAACAGACGCGATGGCTGAATCTAAATTCTCCAGCGGCAGCCATTGTTGTAAATGAATTCATCCCAAGCGCTATTTGGTGACGTGGATGATTATATTATATACATTATATACATTTTGTAAAATTTGAACACAAAAAAAGTTACGGACTGCAGCTTTAAAACCAATAGTTATGTTATAACACATACATTTTATTATACCATGGTCTGTCTGAATACTCCATTCTGATTGGCTGGAATATAAGCATTCATTTCATGTGCCATTGAACGGAAGAGAGTCTCTCGGTAGCCTGCTTAAAAGTCAGATCTTTTTGATTTTCCTGGCAAAAACGACGAGTTCATCACATAAAAATCAGTCAACAGGCTTTCAGGAAGTCAGGGAGGTTCCGTTAGAAGCTGTTCACACATTGACAATTAAAAAGCAATTCATTCATGAAAATTTAAATCTATTTCACCGGTCAATATGAACTCCTATCTGCTCTCCTGATCTATATTGCCTCCTGCTCTGACAGGACAAAGAGTGTGTGAGAGTGTGAGAGTTAATGTGCATGTGTGTGTCCGGCCAGGTCGCAGCACTCAGTGTGAGGGCGGCTGGTGAATAGGGCGCCCACGTAACCCAAGTGCCTCTCCTCTCTTCATGTCTTCCCGCTCTCCTCCTGGATTGGTTTACCTATTGTATCACAGCCAGATAATATTGTTTGTCGCTGAGCCTCTGGGTAACACAAGCCCACTGGGGCAGAGAGGAGAGGAGAAAGGCTCCTCAGGAGATGAATGGAGACCCAGAGAGAGGAGGAGGAGGGGGAGAGACGGGCAAAGGAGTCCCAGAAAACAGGTCCTCAGTCTGGGTCAGCAGACGGGACCCCACCCTCTCGCCCGCCGCACACCTGGGACTGTAAGCCACAAAACAGCCCTCTGCTTACTCTCTCCTCCCCCTTCATGCTGGGATTTTGTCAATTCATCATCATAAAATAGATTTGCTGACCTTCTAAATGTTACACAATGAGAGCCTTTCAAAGGGGCGATTGCATAGAAAACAGAATTATCCTTGCTCTTTTGAAATATAACAGTCCAACATGTTCATAGAAGCTGGAAAATGGCAGCTTAGAAATCACAGACATGAATGTTTCTTATTTACCATCAAGATTTCAGATTAAAATTGCAGAGGGGTTGAAAAGTCTGAGACCTCAAGTGAAAAAAAATGTTTTCAGTACGCTATGTTTTGGTTTAGATTTGATTTGTTTTTTTATTAAACAAAAAATGTTATGTTAAATGTTTTTATTTTAAAACAAATTAAACATTTTCTAAATTAAAAATAAATTTAACTTCAGTTCTATTTTCACTGCATGAGCAGTAAGCATCTTGAACATTGTCAAAATGTCTTTTTTCATCCATATTTGTTATTTAATATATATATATATTATATTATTATATATTATTACATATGTAAATATTAATATATTTATAAAAATGTCTTAATATCAAAATATATATTAGCACAAAACATTAAACAATTAAATTACATAAATGTTACTTTCACTGAAGGGAAAAGGAACAGTCTGGATATACTTTGTTAAATATCTTTCTTTGCGTTTCGACATCAAATGGTTTTGCAACAACAAAGTATTTTCAGTTTTGGGTGGTCTGTTTCTTTAAAGTAGAAAAAGCAGCCTGTTTAATTCTAAGGGTCAGATAGAGGGTGGATTTTCCTTCCTCCCCAAATCATTTATATTATATGTGCTAACAGCCTGTCAAGATCTTGCCATTTCAGAAGTCACAATGTCACGAACACATCTGTCTAAAAAACACACAAAAATCTCTCACAATGGATATAACTGGCCTTTATTTGGCCCTCCTTGACAGTCTATCATGCTGAGTGAAGTGCAGTGCTCATACATTACTCCTGCCTAACTCTTTGTCTCAGAGTCGCAAGAGTTTTACGACCTCCATAACCTATAGAGCGAGTTTCTACAAGTGTCTGAGGAGGTTATTATCATCTGAAACACACATTCTGATGATACGGATAACTAGACGCAGGGTGCACCATGACATCTAATATAAGAAAGATATTGCCTTGTAGTATCCCAGTGTAGTTATGAGGTGAGAATATGGTAAGAAGTGACTTCCTGTGGCTATAATGTGTCATGCTAGATTTGAACACAAATATCTGTAGCAGAGAGTCAAAAACAACATGAAACTCCATTCACAATGCATATAACTTCTATAATAAGACATATTTCCAACTGAAAAACAATATTGGTTGGGACTTACTGTAAGGGCATTCATCAGGATTTGATTAGATGTTATGCTGTGATATTATTTGTTAACGTGACTTTTTCTGCCTGCAGGGATTTTGCTACATCATAAAAGATCATGGCAAATATGGAAAACTGTAATCAACATACTGACGCAATTTGTTTTTGCTTATTCTCATCCGTATTCGTAATAATTTATTAAAAATATGAATGTTTATACTTTATCAATAAAAAAACTTAAAATATTTTTTGAAATTATTTAAAAAAGCAGAATAACTTGTATTTCAATCTCACCACATGATCAGTGAGCATGCAGCTTAGATATTAAATATCTCTTTCGGCCTAAGTAGTCTTTCGTCAAAAAGCAAAAACTTGCTTGACCCGTTCCACAATTTCTTCTCGTCAAACACACTTGCTGCATACGAAACCGCATACTGTATAATAGGTACTACATTTGTTTTCAAACTAAATTCGCGACTGTTAAAAAATTATGTTTAAAGTACTACATCCACCATAATGTGCACTGTCATGTGACCTTCGGCATCAGTTGCGTCTCTTCACCTCGATTACTAATCCTGTCCCGTGGACTCATGGGATAGTAAAGTGTCCATCGAATGCGCACTTCAAATTCTCACCGGAAGTAATAGGTCATCCGGGTACTTTTCCCCTGTTTCATGAATACTATGAATTCAGACATATTACTCGGCTCACATACTCTTGTTCAGGGGCGTCGGACTGGGGGTAAAACCAGTACTGATTACCAGGGCCCCAAGGGGAGAGAGGGCCCTTGAAAAGTCTGGAATATATTTTATTTTACCTTGATATTTTCATTTCCTAATTAAATTTCATAATGAATGTCAGATGAAATGTAAAGTTAGTGTATTAACTGAATAACTTGGTTGATTGGTTGATTGATTGATTGACGGTCTTATGGTCCCACCCCTTGTCAATGCGCCAAATGGTTTAGTCCATCTGCACGCAATTTGTAAATGTTAGTTGAGCTGCATCTCGTTGAGCGCTGTAGAAATGTCTTTCTCAAAGAAAGCTAAATCAGGCCACCAAAAAAGAAAGTAAAGACAGGAGAAGGAAAGAAAAGAAAATGAGGGGAAACAATTGGTTACTGACTTCTTTTCAAAGAAAAGTGAGCACAAACCAGAACACGAAATTTATAGTGCTAAATTGCTTGAATATCTCCGCGATCGTTAGTGCTAAAAATGAACTGAGACAACCCAATGAAAGAGCAGAAAAATTCTAATTTTTCGAGTTTCACTGTAGCTACAGAGCTACCAAGCTACCTATGAGTGACACTGATTAGCCTATTATTGCTAATTTTAGATATTATAGCCTATTAATTTAAAATTAAACATGTTTCAGATTAGGCTATAATAATGAAGTTTTGTATGCAAACAGCATTATAAGTGTACAGTTTATTTATTTAGCCTTTACCTCAGATTACATATAACCAAATTATCATCTGAAAGTGTATGTTCTGCCACATACACTTTCAGATGATAATTTGGTTATACATGTAAACTGTACACTAATAATGCTGTTTGCATACAAAACTTCATTATAATAGCCTAATTTGAAACATGTTTAATTTTAAATGAATAGGCTGTTTGCATTGCATTGTGGGGCCCATCAGGACTGCCTATGCATAGGGCCCGGGATCTTGTGCTACGCCCCTGCTCTTGTTCGACTACTATATAAAATGGAAGTGGGCAGATGGAAATACATCACATTACAGAAGTAAAATGGGTTCAGGATGGCTTTGAGGATGTGATATCTCTCTCTACTCCCCTCTAGTGTGTGAAGTGAATACACAGTGGTCTCTGCGGAGATGTGTGGATAAAGAAAGCAAGACTTGTTCGAATCTGGTTCGAGGGTGTTTGGGGTCAGCAACGTCAGTGCCAGCTAAACTTAAAATATTCTCGGTACACAAAACCACACACATTCCAAACCACACAATGTTCCTGCTGTGCTCGTCTTTTGTTTTCTTCTCTTCCCAGTTCTACTTACCCAGGACAGTAGGAGCAGACTGCACTTGAGCGTGCCGCAGTAGCCCACCATGGCCACGATGATGAGAAAACAGCACACGGCGATGACGACAGGATGGACGACGGGGGAGTATGTGAGAACGGCTGCCTCCTCCAGTCTTGAGGAGAAGAAGGAGAGAGAGAGAGAGGAAGAGTCATTTCTTGGCAGGCTTTTTGTTTATTTATCCATCCATCCTGCTCACTTGCCTCTTCCTTCTCTCATAGGGCAGCATATTTGAGTAATACACCAGTTGCAAATAAACAGTGATTATACTCTGTAGGAATGCAAACTCTCTCGCTCTTCCTGTCTCTTGCTGTCTCTACTTCTGTTTGGCTCTCTTTTGCACCAGTTTTCTGAGATGCAACAATGTTTTCACTAAGGAAGGCATGGACAAGCTACAGTTTAAAGGAATATTCTGGATTCTGAATACTTTAAGCTCAGCTTTTGAGGCATAATGTTGTAATCGCAACAAAAGAAATTCCATGTGTCCCTCTTTTTCTTTCAAAAAAGCAAAAATCTGTTGTGCCAGCGAGACACTTGCAATGGAATTGAGGCCAATTTGTAAACATTAAAATACCATTTCAATAAAATAGCCACAAGATGTAAACAAAATGCATGTAAACATGACACCATTTTCAACTAAAATGTTTTGGCCGTTCATTTACACGACAACGGCGTTTTGGGGGCCTAAAAATGCAAACTTTTGAAAACGGGTTTTAAAGTGGATGTTTCTGAGAACGATACTGTTATCTCTGTGTAAACGAATTTGTGAAAACATGCAGTGACATCATGCGAATGTTCAAAATGTTCAGTTCTGTCGCATAGTTTCTTTACAAAGGTTGTCAACTACTGGCCTGGCATGCATAATCCAGCCATTTTAGACGTTTTCGTGGATCCATGTGAACGGGGATCATTTTGACAATGTATGTATATGGAAAAATGTGAAGTAAACACTTTCCATTTTTAGTACATCATTGCTAACGCTTTCTGTGTAAACTTGTATCCAATTTTACACTTTCACTATCATGACAACCCAAGACCCTGTAGAACCTAAAATACTAAAACAACTGTATTACTTTTAAGAGTTTTAAGTTATAACAGAAGAATTTGTGTTTTTTATCAATTTTAAAGCTTCACACCTTCTAAACCCTCCAAAAATTGTCCCATTGTTAGTGCCTCACCATAACCTATTGTTGCTTTAATGAAAATTAACCTAATTAAAATTATGCTAGGGCTCTTGATTAAGCTTAACTTGTACTGGATATTTCCTGAGGTAAATATATAACTAAAGATCACACACAAATACACACATCTATAGTCTGAAACGTTCTAGTTGATATCCCATTATGTTTCATTCTGCAGAGATGAGATTTTTACAGTCATCATAGGAGGGCTGACTCAGCATGTTACTGCAACGCAACTCTGGTAAACCTATTTGTTGTGTACAATCAGGTTTTAACAATTTTCTCTCTGTTGATTCCCATTCATGTCATGATGTGGCCCACAGAGGGCTCCGTAATTATAATACACATCTTGGTGATAAATTGCTTTTTGTCAACACTAATTACGAATCACTTGCCTCCAGGATAATATTGGTTCTTATGGGATTTTTCATGCAGTTTTCCTTTAATGCTTGAGATGATTTAAAAAAACAAAAAACATACACAAATGAATGGTTCTCAACCCAGGCCCTGTCTCCACTGGCAACTTAATGCATTTATCTGATTTCTTCTCCAGAACTGCACACCTCATTCATGCTTGTAATTACTTCATAAGCTTGTGGCAATTTGATCCAGACCGGCTGAAAAGTTGGAAAACAGTAAATTAGACCTTTACATGGACCGCTGCCCCGAATGAAAGGATTTTACGGCTCACACCTGTCCATCCGCTGCCTCTCACCTGGTGTCTGCGGTTAAGGTGAGCACATTGTTCAGGTGATCCCTGAGGCAGGCGGACACTCCCAGCACACACAAGGCCATAAGCTTGGAAAAATGAGAAGAAAACACAGGACTTAAGCCACACTTAAACATGCATTTTTGAAGATATCATTTACAGTAGTGGTCAAAAGTGATGTCCGGCCTATATGAAAATTGACATCTTCACCCTTTATCCAAATATTATTAAAAAAGTGTTAACGATTTTGTAAGCATATTGCGCAGTTGTGCTTGAAGTCAATTTTTTATTTGTGATAACGCAATGAAGCATGCCAAATTGTGCAGATATAAGTTTTTGGCTAGGCTGTCAGACAAAGAAATTATAAACGCATGCCAAAACAAGAGAGAACTAACAAAATATTAATTAATAACTGATTATGTTGTATAAAATAAAACATCTAGCTGTTGTTTGTCTTTTTGCCCAATAAATTTGGCAGATAAATACCTTAAAAATATTTTTATGGTTTGATAAAAACAAATCACTTTTGGTATAATTATTTATTATATATGTTTATTTCTATATTTAAATATGTTGATAGATATCTTATATATATATATATATATATATAATATTTACTTTATTATTTCATATTTAATATTAGAATAAAAAATATTTAGACACTTTCTGGCTGCCAAATGTTAGTGGGACACCATGAACTACATTGACTGGATATACAGCCAGTCACCTTTGGCTCAGCTGAGAATCATAAAATTGGCTCAAAAAAGTGAAATTATAGTTCTGAGAGACAGTCTGGCACACTTTCTTACAGACGCCACTTGTTTTGATTATGCAATGCAGTAAAATTCATGCATTTTAGTTGTCTTTGGCCTCTGAATATTAAAAACATGGAGATATGTTTGTGTCCATGGTTGGCTTGGAAACCTATTTAGGTACTCTGCTATGTTTGACTAATATTAGTGGCATGGGTTTAGTTTGCCCTACGCAGGCATTCTTGGTCTAAAAACACACCCTGGTGCTTATCACATTTAATTCCCTAAAAATAGCGGCCGCAGCAGAATGTGAGCTGTGTGCCATCGGAGCATAGCTGGGATTCAGGCTGTCCTCTACATAAAGATAACATAGGATGGGGAGGGAGGGAACACAGATTGCGCGTATGTTGGCGAGAGAGTGGCTGTTGCGCGTCTTGGAGAGCGCACAGCAGCACTGTGCCATGTAACGTGAGCGCTCGCTCGGCCACCTGCTCCGACTTGGACTCGTCTTACCCAGAAGAGAAAGTTGAGCGCGTAGAGCAGACAGCGCAGACATTTCACCGAATCCTCCCGGGCCATTCTAAGCACACCAACTGCTCGCCAAAAGACCTCATTTTAACTTCTGCCACCATAACCGCTGAGGAGAAAACAACAATTAACAATCACATACAGCTTGCTTGAGATGTCAAGATGAACATATCGCTGCTGCAGAAACCACTCTAAGTTGGTTGCTGGTCTTTGTTGGTCTCCTGGTAAGGCTGGGCTCTTGGTTGTGAATGGGTTTTGGCCTCCTCATCACATTACAACCTGCTAAACTACCTGAATACCAGTCTGATCATACTGGGAGACCATCTCAAACCACCTAAGGCCATCTAACCAGGTGGGGAGACCATCTTAAACCACCAAAGAAAGGTTTCTTCCCCCAGGCAATCTACATCACAAACAGTTAAATGTTCTCCCCACTGTGCAATGATAACTAAATGCAATATCCCTTATATTTCTTTGACAATATTTGACCTCTTTTTATTCCATTCCTTGTTAATTCTACTCTATTCTATTTGTATATATAGCACACCTGCACATACAAATTTGTCGATTGTCTTATTCACATACATCTTCATTTTTTCATTTATTTTTTATTATCTGTGCACTGTGTTGTCTCTGTTTACTGCAAGCTTATCCTGTCACCGAAACAAATTCCTTGTGTGTGCAAACATACTTGGCAATAAAACTTTTTTTCTGATTCTGAAGACCACTTTGGACAGGCTGGGGGACCAGTAAATAATCTTAGGCTATTTGAGATGTTTTTAGGGAGGTTTTTGAAATCCTACCATGTCATAAGTCCTTGTGCGTGTTCAGTGCGCATCCAGAATGTCTTGATATAATGTTGTAAATATCCGTGGGAGGTTTCAAAAGCAACATGTGATTTTAAAAAGACCAACAGGTTGCAACTTTCTCTTCTTGAAGGGTGGTTAAATTAACCAGGATCACTCAGGACACTTTTCTACACCAAAAATAAAAGAAAGAAAGATAAATTCTCCAAAAGAGAACAAGAAAAAGAAGTTTGGAAAGTACTGCACAGACAACCCCTTTATATTTTGTCCAGCATAGGAAACTCCTCAAAACTTAGTTGCGCCTGCAATGTAAAATCATATTGATATTCCTAACGGAGCTGCGCGCAACAGTCGGGCGTGTTCGCTGCGATCCATTCACTGCTACTGTCATTCCAGGCGTTATATGCTCCATTCAGGACCAGCTGTGTGCACCTCGCCTTTCCACAAGTGTTTCACTTCTGCATGTAAGAGACTTTCACTCCAAACGCGCTGAGTGTCATCGGGAACAGCGGTGCCTCCGGGTCCTAAAGGCAAACTCTGGATCATCCCGATTATGGCAAGCCGATTTAACATTTATTTATTTATTTATTTATTTATTTAAACAACTAATGTCTATATGTTGATACTATATACGGTCTACAGCATTATAAGCAATAGTAAATGCAACTTGTTTGCCACTGAATTCTATGTTGTTCAGATATCAACTTTTTTTTTTTTACTTCAGACTTGCAGTTGTTGCTTCAAGAAGCTATTCAAGTTTTACTAACTAGGCTATTGAACATTAGGCTATTTATTCCCAGTTAAGTAGATACAACTAAGTAGCCTACATAGGTTCTCAAAGTGCGGCCCGCGGGCCAATGGCGGCCCGCCGAAACATTTCTGGCGGCCCGCGATAACATCTGTAAAACTGTTAAAACTATTGCTTTGAAAAAATCAATATCTCCGTTTAGTGGTGTTTAGCGGCATCCATAGGCATAAGCGGTAATTACATGGTCCGACCGACCGATCGCACTTGACCTCACTCCCAAGGCCACCAGGAACAGTGGTTGTCTACACAGGAATAGGAATCGTGGCCAACCGAAACCAGCACCACAAATCCCATTGCAATTTAAAAGGGTATGTTGACCAAGTAATCAATATTCAATGTGACTTAATAATAATCTTAACAATGTCAAGCTTATTAATAGCCGTGTTTCCATTACCTTTCAAAATGTTCGCGGGCGCGAACACTTGCATTTTCCTATCAACAGTGGAAACAACTTAAACTAGTCTATCATTTCTGGTCATACAGAAAATAATAATGCATTATTCGCAACTACTTTTATTTGTGTAAACTCATAACAAGAAAACGTGCTTTTGTAAAATAAAATAAAACAATCAGTAGCCTAGGCTAGCCTACTACGCGCTTTCATGATCTCCGTGAACTGGAGCGCGAGAACTGAACCAAAATATAGCCTATGTAGGCTAAAGCTTAAAATGTGCACTTTTAAACAAACAAACTCGAATCGAAAGCAAATACCTGATTATGTAATCCGTATGAAAGGTGGATTTCTCTCTAAAAGCGCATCTGCTTAACAGCGGAGATGGAGATATGTTTTTAGCCGACACTTAGAAAACAATAGTTTATTAATAAACAATTAAAATGCCTCGCTGTTTTTTCAGACGCATTTATTATCATTAGCCTATAACTCACCTATAAATCAGGCTAGATCAGACACGTACAGGCTATATGGCTCTTCTCATTCATCACTGCGGGAAAAATATAAATTCCAGGTTCTAATTTGGCCTTAGAAAACCAGTAAAATCGACATGTTTTCCATATTAATTTGTGAATATTTAAAAAAGTATTTTAGTGAATATTTTAAAAAAGACAGCTTTCAAAAAGTCATTTAAACAAAAATCTGAAAAAGTCTGTCGATATTTACTTTTTTTGCGCAGCAGTTGGTGAAGCCAGTTCAAATTAAAATTTTGTTCAACTTTGCGTTTTAAAAAGACAACAACTGTTCATTTTTCGTTTTTCAGTTACGGGTTAAAAAAGATAGATAATAATATGCAAATCTGCAATAATGGAAACGCGACTGACAAGCAATGATAGAAATGAATGATGATGATGACTTGTTTGGTAAGCTTCTATTTTAAAAGTTTATTTCTCTCCCCCCCAAAATTTTCACAAGTTTTGCCAGGTTTAGCCTCAGTTATGAATTAAAATGTGTTTATTGCAACTAATGTAAACTGTAGAGATGCAACCTGGTCATTAAAATAATTTCAAATGGGATTTTCTTTTCAGTTTTTTTTTCTTCGTTTTCTCCCCCGCCACTTTGGCGGCCCTCAGTTCAATGTTGGGTTCCTAAATTGGCCCTCACCTATCAAAACTTTGAGAACCCCTGACTAAGTATATATTACAGATCTATCATGACAGCTCTCTTAAGATTTTTAGCATGATATTGGATATGACAATGCTAATGCATTTGGTCTTGGCGGAATAAATCTGCTACAGCTGATTATTGCTGCTGTTGTAGATTAAAGGTATAGGCACATTTTTTTCAGAAACAATTTTTGTTATTCTGGTTGAAATTCTCTTTACATCCTGATAGCAATCAATTATATATAAGTGGTCTAAATATATATATATTAGGGCTGTCAAATGATTAATCGTGATTAATCACATCCAAAATAAAAGTTTTTTTTACATAATATATGTGGGTGCAGTGTATAATTATTTTATACATTTATAAATACACACACATACATGTATATTTAAGAAAAAAATATTAGTTATATATAAAATATTTATATATAATATAAATTATATATAAATCTATATACAGTATATACATGAAAATATTTCTTAAATATATACAAGCATGTGTGTGTATTTATATATATATATATATAATAATTATACACAGTGCACCCACATATATTATGTAAAAAAAACTTTTGGATGTGATTAATCACGATTAATCATTTGACAGCCCTAATATATATATATATATATATATATATATATATATATATATATATATATATATATATATATATATATATATATATATATATATATATATATATATATATATATTAATTACAAAGTCTATTGTCTGTGGATGTCTCAGGGCCAAAAAATGTTCGTCCAATCACTTAATTCGGTCCGAATGCAGTAATACGATGTCTTACCTGCCTGTCAGTGTAGCCTACCTCCTCAAACCCTGCTCGTGCAGATATCACATGTCATCTGCGCGTTCCGTAAGGCTATGCATCACTCAGACAACAATCGGAAAGTAGCCGCCTTTGAACCAAATCAACGACCTTGTGCTCCATAAGTCTGAGCTCTGCAGTTGTTTACGTTCATTATTATACACTAATGTTATGTGCTTTGAGACATGAGGTAATTTAATGCCGTCTCTCCTCTCGTGACACTTTGCAGGCTCTGCTGTGTGCGTTCATGTGTTTTGAAGGAGGCATGGCTTTAGAGAGCGCTCTGAAGGGAGGGTGGGATCTTATTCTTTCAACGCTAGCTTGCTATTGCTAGCTGCTCCGTAATCGCATACAGCAACTTGCTACTGCCAATACAAACACTCATATGCTGCTGTGAGCATGTAACATTAGCATATATACAATTATCTGTAGCAGATCTATAAAGGTGGAGCTGGGGAAGGTGAAGGGTTTTAGAGGAACTCTGAAAGCAATGCAAACTGCTATAGTAAACACTAAACAGCTATTTAAATGTTGAGCAGCAAGCTCATTGGCTGCAGATGCGACATGAACCAATAAACCTGTGCCATGTAGTTAACTATGTAAATATCATAAGGTTGCATAAAGGACCCATCATCCTGCGCCATCTGTTTCATGACAGAACTTGGTATTTTTACTAATATTACATGCTAGTATAGCGCACTAGAATCTGCTGTATTCTAGTGTTTATATGAAAATTACCTTTAAAATGGTCAGAATAAACTTATAATTAATCCCATATAGTTATGCCATTTCAAATAAATAAATCTTTTGTTCTTTGTGGTGATCACAGTATATCTGAGAAGGAAACAAATCCCTGCATGTCTTTGTCTTATTGGAGACACTTGTACATTAAGTAATTAAGGATATTTACGTCGTATCTGACCAGTTAGGGTCAACTTCTGGGCCCGCTCATTTTTGGGTGCCTCATATTATTAGCCATTGCTACCTGCTTAACCAGTTTCTGTGGTCATTACATGCTTCCCAATCGCATGCATCAACAGTGCTTGGCATGTATCCAGATCCCCGCCCCCGAGATATCGTATGCCCGGGTGAAGAGGTCACATCTGATGGGCGTATTATTGTCTTGAGAGAGACCCAATCTGCTGTTATCTGGGAATGTGTGTTGATTAATTTTACTGTGCTGCAGCTGTCCTGGTCATTTATATAGGCTACAAGTAGGCTATGTAACACAGGCAAATATTAATTTACAAAAGCAGGAATAATTACAACAGTTTTTTTAAGTTGTAATATGAGTCCATAATAATCATCCAGTAATGGCTTTGAGCAAGGAAAATACAGAAATTAAAGTGATTCCTTTAAGTGATTTTGCTTGCAAAAATAAAAGACTTAATTGCTCACTTGCATGCAATATTACATATTCAACTCCCTCATTTAATTCTCTTACATAAGAACAGCCTGTTCTAACACTTATTTTAAATATGTATTTCATTTTGTTAATAGTTGGGTTTTTAAATATATTTATTGTTCAGCACTTAAAGACTAAAGAATTAGTCATTAAATAAAAAATATCAAAACAAAAATATATATATATTTTTAGAAACTGTTCAGAAAAATACATACTGTAGGTAGCTATACAGTGTGCATATGCAAACCCAATATTCTATACGCAAAACCAATATTGCATTGTTTTATTTTGAGCATAACTGTTTACTGGCTGATATTATTTGATATTCTACTGTGCAAATATAGCACCAGGAAACTCGGATGAGAAGAAATATAAAAAGACAACTAGCTTTCAAACGGCCACAAATGGATGAACAGTCATCAGAAAAGCCACATTTCCTGTTTATGATCTTAGGCATATTTTTATTTGATCCAAATTGAGAGCTGAGGTGCAGTGTCACTTTGCAGAACATTTCATGTCTACAGCTGTGAGGTAATTTTGTCTTGGAAATAAAATATTTTAATGGGATGTTTTATAAAAGCCTCTTCCACCACAACTGCACCAAATCATAACTGTCTACATTAAACGTGGGGTCAAGCTGAGGTTTCTTCCTCTCAAGAGACAGCTGGGTAGTTACATTGTCTTCCACTGGCAAATGTCTAGCGGTATGTTTTACAAAAGCCTCTTACACACAGACAGTACCAAAATTGCAACTGTCTAGAGCAAACGTCTGAATTGTCATCCCACATTACAGTCAGCGCTGCCCTCCAAAGGCCAAAACGGCATAAAACCTGCTACTAAAAGACACAATGCTTGTCTCTCTCAAATAACCATGATGATGTCAAATTTAAAGAAGCTAAGGATAATTTTCATACTATTTTTCATTTTAAGTTATAATATTGTTTAGTAACTGAATAAAACAGACAATTAAAGAGTTTGTTCAAAACAATGCTACTGTAAAATGCTCTATAGAAATTTATAGAAGGAAACTTCACAGATTATTATTTTTTAAAATAAAAAAAATCATTTTTAATGAATTTTCGATATATATACATATGACATATGTCAAAATAGTTTTGTATTATATAATTTTACATTTCCATTTATTAGTATACACACAAATTATCTATATAGAATTTGTATATATATATATATAACATGAGTATATGGTACAATATGGACAAAATGCAAATGTCCTGTTACACAAAAATGTGTTTTATTAAGTGTTTATGTTGGTGTCAAGCACATATTTTTGAGAACTCTTCCCTCAAAGGTGTGAGGAAAGGGCCGGGGGTATTTGAAATTCAAAAGAAGGACGAAGTTCCAGTTCAAAATGTGAAGCTTTCCATTCTATTCATTCATATATATATATTATATATATATATATATATATATATATATATATATATATATATATATATATTTTTTTTTTTTTTTTTTTTAGGGCAGAATTCACTAAATTTTAGCTTGACACCAACATAAACACTTCCAGAGAAAACACTCTTTTGTATAAATGGACATTTGCATATTGTCCATATGTACCATAATTCCATAGGCCTATATTACGATTACATCCCACAATTTGCAGCGGTGGATGTAGTTTCAAATAGCGCAAATAAAGAACTACAAATCCCAGGAAAGCAAACACAAAAAGTCAGCTTCCGCGCAACTCTATCAGCGTCCAATCAAATCCCACGTCCTTCACGTAAGCCCCTCCCCTATCAACTTGTGTTTTTTCCTCCCCTTCAGTTCTCCGCTGTCTCCGACGCCATATTGACGAGAAACACCCTTTCTCTAAAACGCCTGAAACACTCTCTCCGCCAGAATGTTGTACCTTGAGGACTACCTCGAGAGTGAGTATATTAATTATTTTAATGGTTCACGTTCGAATTAAAGCGTTTAAGTGTCTGGGAGGTCTGTTTTGGACGTGTGAAGGCGTCGCAGCCTTTAGCTTGTAACGCGTTTCTGTTCTTCTCCCCGGCAGTGATCGAGCAGCTACCCATGGATCTCCGCGACAGGTTTACGGAAATGAGAGAGATGGACCTGCAAGTGCAGAGTACGAATACAGTTTAAACTCACTCTTCTCCCGTAAAACATCACATCTGACCTTGACTAATGCAGAAAGTCCTTCATAACAGTGGGGATTTGTTTGGTTATTTTGCATGTATAATGAGCATGTATGTGTTTATGTTATGATGTTGCATACTGATGTGAAGTGCATAAAATCATGTGGAAGTTAAGCAACATGAGTGTAAACTCGGATAAGGAAAAACTTGTGATTAGCAATAGCATGCATTATTCATTTTAATGCTTTTTATTTTCTACCCTTCACAAACTCTGTTGACACCGTCAATGTCCTTGCTGATATGAATATTCTCCTAATATTCTTCATCACTCTGATCATGTGTAAGGGTTATTGTACATGCATGTATTTGTTGACCATTATAGGTTTTGCATGGAGCATAAACCATCATTTGACATAGTAACTCATGTTATTTATTAATTTGAACTACTTATTTAGCCATGTTTACAGTAGAACTACAGCGATACGAGGTTAGAGAAATATGTCCTGGTCGTATTTCACACCAAAATCAAAAGAAAAACTTTTAATTTTATCTTCAACATTTATAAAGTAAAGTAAACCTAATTAACAACTGTACAAAAAATTAAACAAAAATCATTATAATTTGTATTGTTCGCATAAACACTGATGTCTACAGTAGTGGCCAAATAGAGTAAATCACAATTTGAAAGTAGCTTGACGCTTCAAATAAAGATTGTATAATTTCTATTGATAGACCAGTAGGTGGTGATAAGTGACTGATAAAAATTTGTTGTCATTAGTTCAAGAGTTTTGTTCAAAAACGCGATTCATCCTGTAATGTTAATCAAATCAAATGATGACTCTTTATGAGTGAGTTATTTTATTTATTCAAACTGATTTATATATATATATATATATAAAAAAATATTAAAATAAAAATTACTTGTTTTAAATAAATTTCAGAAATTAACATTTTGTCAGAACCTCTAGTAAATGACTCATTGTTTTGTTTAGTTGTCTATTCAGAATCGTGGGAGAATTGTGATCTCTGTTTTAAACAACAACAAAAAAATCATCATTCTCAATTTATCCAGAATTGTGCAGCTCTATTTTGAGGTGAATGTGACCAGGACATATTTTTTTTTTCTTCCTTCAAATGCCTTGCCTTCAAATGTGATGGTTCATGGATCACCCTTTGTGGGGGTTGAACCTACAAGCTTTTAATGATCTTACCCAAATCGTTGACCACTAGGCTACACAACCTCCATCAAAAGATTTATTTTAGTGATCTGACCATAGACTTCCACAGTAGCCAATCAGTGTGATTGTGAACTGAGTGTTGGGCTCTTGACTTACTCCTGCCTCTGTTCCTTTGTTCAGATGCGATGGATCAGCTAGAGCAGCGGGTTAATGAGTTCTTTACTAACGCCAAGAAGAACAAGCCTGAATGGAGGGAAGAACAGATGGAAATCATTAAAAAGGTAAAGAACAGATGCTATGCACCTCAGTTGATCCAAGTAATACAAATTGTATTCAGAATAATATTGATACTGACTGGTCTTTTTGTCCTAGTAGGAAATCCAAATGTGAAAACCTTCAGTATTTTCAACAAGCGAGATATAATGAAAGTAAAAAGACACTAAATTAGCATTCACTTAGCATAACAGAGATATCAAGATAAGATCAGACAAAATTATTTCTTACTTCCTGAATTTGTCACAAAATACAATTATTTACGCTCGCACCAAGATAAACAATTATATCAATTATATATCTTCGGTGAAGAGCGTCAAAGATGTCTATCATATAGATGGTCATATTACATACTATCATATTACCAAAGATGGCCACATATAGATATTTTTAATATTATCTTGTAATTTGGCAGCAGGTATATTAGGCTTCTGTCACTTTAAGACCTGAAGCACGGATCCATTATACTGTTACACATGCATTTTCTTTCTCGACTGTTTACAATCACTTAAAACATAACTGACTGTTTACTTTTTGACATTGTTTTGTCTGTATTTGACTGTTTAAGCGCAATAAGCAGTGAAAAAGATCTCAATTTAGTACTGAGAGGCGGATTTATGTGCACACGCTTTAGGTGTAAGTACAAAGTCTGCAGGAGGGAGTAAAATTATGCACAATCCCACGCCGAAATTTAAGCCCTGTAACACCAACGATATTCATCCGGAGCAAATGAAACGAGTGAGTGAGGAGAGGCAGGTTTGTGTGTCAACTCGCTGTCAGAGAGATGAGCGAGAAAGCGCAGCTGGTATCGTGTATCTTTTCTGTAGTAACATAAATCCTGAGAATGAAGAGCGAAGCGAAAGAAAGAAAGAGAGAGAAAAAAAAAACATCAGTATTTTTTGATAATTAATGGATAAGTTGGGGGATCATATGCACAGTTTTTTAAAATAAACAATCTCTTTCTCTTTATCAGGACTACTATAAGGCTTTGGAAGATGCAGATGAAAAGGTCCAATTAGCCAATCAAATTTATGATTTGGTGAGTACCATTACTGAATGAGATGTGATGGTACTTTGTGTCAATACTTCATGTTTCCAGTAGGTGGCGGCACATCATTGATGGTGAATGTGCAGTGACTCTCAGGGCTGGCGTTTACTCCTGCTGTTTCATTGATCAACACTGATGCCTTTTCATGTGCTTTAATTCAACTCTGTTTTGATTTACCCTGGAGAGAGTTTATGGGAAACCTGCTGCGGCTTGAAGTTTTTGTGATGTTGGGGTCTCTATGTAGGTTGATAGACACTTGCGGAAGTTGGATCAGGAGTTGGCGAAGTTCAAAATGGAGTTGGAGGCGGATAACGCTGGTATCACAGAGATCCTGGAGAGACGTGGGTGGCACCTGTCAATCACCTTCTATGTAGTTTTAATTAAAGGGCTAATTAAAAAAAAAAAAAAAACTTTTCTTCTGGCTAAGTCTTTGTAAAGGTACCTGATAGGAAAAATAAAGCTAGTCTGAAAATGTCTGGACACACTTAAGTAAACTGACCATGTTGTGGCTTTGTGCTGATTTGAAATTGTTTGTAAAGTCAATTTTACCTGTTCTAGGGTCGCTGGAGATGGACAGTCCCTCCCAACCTGTCAATAACCACCATGTACATTCACACACCACTGTGGAGAGTAAGCCTGTTTCAAGAGACTGTCCGATTCCCGTTTTTCTGTTCCAGTCTTCTGACCTGCTTTGTGTGTTTTTTGACAGAGAGGAAGTACAGTGCGCCAGCCCATCACACTACTGAACACGTACCAGAAAAGAAGTTTAAGTCAGAGGCCCTGCTCTCCACACTCACGTCAGACGCTTCTAAAGAAAACACACCAGGTAAAACACACATTCTCACTCCTCTTGAGTCGCCCTATAAAAACATGTCGGGCACAAACATACACTGACATTCTTTAGAGAAAAGAAACCGTGTTTTCAAAAGCTCATGTTTTTGAAAGAATGCTTACCTAGACTGCATTTATTTGCGTTTATTAAAAATACAGAACAAACAGTAATATTTTGACTATTTAATATAATTGTAATATATTTTAAAATGTTTTTCAACATGTAATTGATTCCTGTGATGGCAAAGCTGAATTTTCAGCATCATTACTCCAGTCTTCAGTGTCACATGATCCTTCAGAAGTCATAATATGTTGATTTGGTGCTCAAGATACATTTCTTATTATAATTAACGGTGAAAACAGTTTATACAATTTTTATAAAGGTTTTTTGTTGTTGTTGAAACTGATACAAATAATTTTAGCGTTCTTTGACGAATAAAAAGTTTAAAAGAACAGCATTTATTTTAAATAGAAATGTGTGTACTTTATGTGTAATTACTGTCACTCAATTAAATGCATCCTTGCTATTTAAAAAAAAAAATCCCAATGACCCCAAACCTATGAATGTTAGTGTGTTTGGTTTTAAATTACTTAAAAGGTTGATTTATTATTTTATTTATTTTTCCTGTCAGAGGAACATTCATTAAAGCTGAAAAGCCATTGTTTCCAAATGCCAATTCAAAATTATTTCTGTGAGAACTAAAACAATCTAAAAATGTTTTACAAAAAAACATTCATAGTTGTTTTTTTTTTCAATAATGTTGAATTTAATATTTATTCTTTTTTAACCTACATCCTCTATATTTATAAATTTTAATTTTATATTTATAAATAAAAAGTGTGTTAAAGTCATTGTAATGTTATATTTTCTAACAAAATGATTGCAAAGTTTCAGTATAACTGCAGCCCTAATCCTAATGACAGTGTCAAGGGAAATAAACAACAATTATGGTTTCTCATAATCATGCCACCCTACAGGCACATATATTTGTGATAACTATTGAGTGGTTCAGAAGAAATATCTTTTATGATGTAATGAGATAACTTATCACTCATATTGTACTGTTCCTCACAAGTGTTTCTGGTTATAAACTAAATGTGATTTTTGTGCGTGTTTCAGGCTGCAGAGTGAACAGCACGTCCACCTCTAACAGCGTGTATAACGTAAACTCCTCCCAATCGCTTTCCTCATACAACCTGAGCCCACTTCCTGCCGGGCCGGCTGCAGGGGCGGGGGCTATCTCCATGGCAGCAGCACAGGCAGTGCAAGCCACCGCACAGGTAAAAACACCATCCTCCCTCTAATTCTGGAGCTATCTCTCCCCCGTCCTCCTCCCTTCACTTCCTGTTTCAACTATTTTTGGCCTCTTAGGGGTCTTTCTCATACTTTTCTTCCCCTTTCTGTTATTATTTTTGTGTAAGATTATGTTATCCTGGCACTCAGCCCTTGTTAATTGCAGCGTTCACTACACAGAGGCACTTTGATATTGTTCTTCGAGGGAAATCACGTCGCCACACCCTGTCCTGTAATTTTGGGTTTTTCATTAAGCCTTTCGTTTCTTATTTAGGTCCAGTAAAACTACATCAGTTATTGTTTTTCTATATATATACAATGTATATATATTTTTTTGTTTGTTTTTTCTGATAAATCAGGTCACAATTCTGAGCGAAAAAAAAGTCGAACTTTTTTCTCGCAATTGTGACTTTATATATCGCATTTCAGACTTTTTTCTGAGAATTGTAAGATATAAACCCAGAAATTGTGAGTTATAAAGTTGAAATTGTGTAATATAAACTCACATTTTAAAAAATAAACTCACAAATATATTTCAATTCTGAGGGAAAAAAAGGTCAAATTACCGGTAGTGAGGGGGGGAAAAAGAGATAAAAATGAGCTTCCATAACTACTAAATCATCAGCACATTGTTTCTTTAAGGAACTTGGATGGTTTCTTCATTCTCTTTAATGTGTGTGTGTGTTTCAGATGAAAGAGGGCAGGAGAACGTCCAGTCTCAAGGCCAGTTATGAAGCTGTCAAGAACAACGATTTCTTGGGACGGGAGTTTGCTCTGAGCCGGGACTCCAGCGCTTACTCTTCTTCTGCGCTGGCTAACACGCTCACACAGCCCCTCACGTCCAGCAACAGCTCAGACTCCCGCACAGGGCGCAAGACCAAGTAAGCATCACACTTGTTTCCATACTCTCCTAAATGGTTCCTGAATGAACCCACCAGAGATATGTTTGTTGCTTTTGTACATTGTACCTCCACTATAAGCACAAAACCCCTTCCCAATTCATATACATCGGATTTTGTTTAACCGCTTTCTTGCTGTTTGTCTTTTTTTCTTTTTTTTGCAGAGGGAACACTAAGTCTTCCAACCACCAGTCCTCTTCATCCTCCTCTTCCTCTTCACTGTCATCCTGCTCGTCGTCGTCAGCATTAGCTCATGAGCTGGTGCAGACCACAGTCACAGAAACTGACACCAGCAGTCAGGTGGACTGGACCTACGACCCCAACGAACCCAGATACTGCATCTGCAACCAGGTGTGTTCACGTCACATCTCTCTCCTGCAGCGTACTGATTCTAGCGTCACTACTATTCCTAGTGATTCTAATATTGGATTGATCTACCTTTACATTGATTGGCTCGTACTAGGGCTGGGCGATATGGCCAAAAAAATGTATCACGATATTTTTTGTTATATCAGTCGATATCGATAATTATCACGATAAATGTCAAATCTTTATTTCTTTCAAGTTTAAAGGCAGATTTTTGCTCCTAAGTGAAAGTTGTATAAACCAGAGCGTTGTGGTTTTAAAAATCTGAGGTAGAACATTCAAACATTTGTCATTTTTCCTTAACAAAATAAATATCTGAAAGAAAAATATTTCTTCAGCACAGTTTGCAGTGCAGGCTGCAATATTCAAATGACATGTTTTGTCTCGAAATGCATATTTGACAGTGAGTTGACAGTAAATCTACATCCTAACTCAAGCTAATGCTACTATGTTAAATTTATGTTCATTAACAAAAACAGTAACATCTGTTTTTTTTTTTTTTTTTTATTTAAGGACCACATTTTTATTTGGTAAAATGTAATATTCTGACTGTTTGAGCTTTATTAAAATTAACCATTGGTCATCCAGTATCATGCATTTAGATCACGATAACCACAGATAAAGCCAGGTACAGCCTCAGTGGCGGGCCGTGCATTTCACACCTAGGCCTTCAGTGATGTCCAACCTGAATTAATAACTTTTAATAGTGTAGCAGCGCACGCATACTCTCTATAATTGTTGTGAATTCCTGTTTTTATTTTGCACCGGCAGTATAGGGTTAATTGCGGTGAGTACGGGAAAGGCCGGGTAGAGAGAAATGAGCGAGTGAGTTCGGCTTTTGTGTTAGTGTACAATGGTTCTTGCGGATCCTCCCTTTTCTTATCCTTAAATGGTTACAATAGTATTAATGTTTGAAAAAAGAAGTTGCTTCGATCATAAATTTACAAGAAAAATTAGGATGAAAATCATATTCACCACGGACAAAAACCGGGGCAAAAAATGCATTATACTCTCCAAAACTACTGATTTTTTTTTTTTTACACAAATCCATCCTAATTTCTTTCCTCAAAAAGACTTAAATTACTTGGTTGTACAGGTTGTCTGTGCGTTTCAGTCCCAACAACCTTTTCTATCGCCATCGAGGCTAATGTGCTGAAAGTCGAATCTGTCCCGTCGTATTTCTGGCATAAGTTTTAATTCGCTTTAGTGCTGAGAGTGTCTGCTCGACAGAAGCAGTAAGTTAAACAGGGAAAACACCTCAAAACATGACGACGTTACAGCTGACACAAGCACTCACGCAGATTTTTGAACGATATCAATGAGATCAGCGGGACTTTTGCCTTTAAAATCAGTCCTGGCATTTACAGTCAGTTCTGTTCTTACCCCGGACAGATCGATAAAGTTCCGTGACTCTGCGTATTAAAAAGCTGAATAAGGGATTTTTTCCGGTAGGTTTGAACCTGCTGGTGGTCGAGGAATGAAAGAAACATTCATTTGTGGGTTGAAAAACTATTAAATCTACAGGAATATATTTTAGTTTAGTTCGTTACAGATGTGGTTAGCTAGCTCTGACTACCAGTAATAGTAGTACACGGTCTGACCATCCAATCAAAGGACGTGAGAATGCCGACGTCATTGTACGCATGCTAGATGGCCCCGGTGCAGTCAACTCGAAATCTGATTGGCTGATTAAATCTGACTGATTATCTGATTGGTTAAAGCAACAGTTTCATTGCCATTCATTTTAAGTTACAGGCGCCCGCACTGTCGATTCTGAAGGCAGATTTATTTGACCCTGGCAACACATGATGGCTGAAATATGATTGGATAAAAGCGCTAAAATAAATATACACTGGAAGCAGCGCAACCAAGAGAAAAGCTATTTAAGAGAATGGACTATTGGAAATAATTTAATACTCATTCATACAATAAAATACATTAAAGTGCAAGTCAGTGATTCTGATAGTGTTTAGGCCAGCAGAGAAGGCCTTGCTGACCCACCACTGTACAGCCTATAGCACCTCACTATCATGGCAAAATGTAACTATGGTTTCTATGGTATTTGTATGAAAAACAGTAGCCTAACAGTTAAATACATTATTAAATACTGTAATTATATTCCATTAGTCATTTAATACATTGTCTACATTAATAATATTATACAATTCAATATGTATATCCCACATTTCATGCAGCAGTTAATATTACTAGGCTAACGTTACAGTAAATCCATGGTAGGCTAAATGGATTCAGTATCAATTCAGATTCTGACTGTTTCGCTGCAGTCTTTCTCCTGTTTGTCAGCGGTGTTTCATCTGCCTTTGAACTGATTTAAACTGGACATTTGTGTTCTTAGCTGAACTTAAGCGCTTCTCACTGGATCTCGTGAGCGAGACGATCAGAGTAAACTCGTCTGCTCTAGTGAGCTCGCGCTGCCATTTGGACTTTGAGCCGAGCGGATAAACAGTCCGTGAGGCGCGCGCGGTTCAAATGAGTTTCGTTCCACTTTTGGCGCATACACATTATCGAACATTTATCGACCTCTTGATATCGTTTTATCGAGAAAAATTATATCGCGATAATTATCGTTATCGTTTTATCGCCCAGCCCTAGCTCGTACTAATTACAGTGTTTCCCCTACCATTGTTTTGGGGGGGGCGGCCCGCCCCCCCTAAAATGCTGACGAAATCCAGTCATAAAAAAGGAATTTAGTGTATAACGCGGAATTTCACGGAACTTGTAAATTTGAGGAAAACATAGAAAGCAGTTCAGTACACTTGAAATCAAATCGCGATGTAGACTAGTGTGTGTGAATATTAAAACACAAAGACTATTTAAATACGAACCCTGCATGTTCTGTGTGAATGAATGGTGCCGCCGACGCGCAGTTTCATACCACACACACACACACTGAAGCACGTGTGACGCTTGCGCTGTTTGTTTTTCTGTTTTTTGAAGACAAATGCATGAACTTCCTCTCCAGGCTCTAGATCCACTCTGAAAGTCACTTCGTGATCATTTCACGCTTCATTTGAGAAAAACTATCATCATGACATAAACCATAGACTGTGTAAACACACAGAAACTCAAAAGGTCTTCACGGCAACCTGTCAAAATAAAAGTTCGGTTTAAACTGACAGAAATATATTACTGTTGTACATTAGAATTTAGATATGTCCCAATGTAATAATACACTAACACTAATCCAAATAAATTATCATCAAAACTGAAATTTTTAAGGAATAATCCATGTTTTAATTTTAACAGTAAAGCTCATTGTGCAGCAAGTTATATGACAAAAAGTTTATTCAATTTCATTTGATTGAAATTGATGATAAATGATAAAATTTGTGTTTTATGTCTTCATTTTATTACCAGAAAAAACACAACACAGAATTAGTGTGATTTTTTTTTTTTCATATATATATTTTTTTTTTTAAAAATTATAAGTTTAATGATTCATAATACATGATTTCAATTAATTAGACATGCTTTTTGATTGAAAAAAAAAAATTTACACCACGTATCCGTAACACGCCCGCTCCGCAACACTAGCAGTCCCCCCCCAATTAATTGGTACCACTATCTGCAAATTTCAAAGCTTTGGTACGGCTGTAAAGATCCACACATTAAAGCTGTTGTGTGTGGAGACGAGTGACGATTTCTATTTCTCCGTCTCCTATTCCATCGTCACTGTTTCTAATTCATGGAAAAGGCCTAAAAATAAAAGAAACAAATATTTTTAATTGGAAAAAAATGATTACACTGATTAAAATGTATATATCATTCTAAAAAAAAATCCCATTGCACCCAGTATCATATTTTGTAGATTTTTTTTCAGTTTTGGAGTTATTTATATTTATTATTATTATTCATTTAATTTATCAGTTTAGTCCCTTAAAATTAAAATCTCTTTTTTTTTGAAGAGAGACCAGACCAAAATTGTAGCATAGAATTTTACACAATAGACCGTTTGGGTTTTTGCCATGATGTTTTTGTGGGCGGAGCCTACCTGGTGGCTGTAAATTACAGTAAATTCTTCTCGCAATTCTGAGAAGACAAATAAGAAATTCAAGTTTATATCCCACATTGCTGACCTTTTTTTCCTCAGAATTGTGAGATAAAAAGTTTATAGGTTTAAATATTTGTTGACGTCTGTTCCTAAATGGTCTATAAAACAAGCATTAAAAAATTGACAAATATGACCAGAACAAGGAAAAACATCTCTTTTGAGCTATTTTTAATCATCGCCACAAGAGCGAGATCACACAGGAAAGTCAAAGATCTTGTCTGGGAGGTGAGATGGGTGACTCCAATAACGGTTTGCAGAAGGATTGTGTGTGTGTGTGTTTGTAGGTTATGTATGAGTGCAAAAGAATTGTCTCCCCCTGAATGCATTTGTTTTATGGCCTCAGTAATATTGCTTTTGTCAGAGTAAATCAAAAATAGAAATGTGTGTGTGCGTGTCTCTGAATAGACATCAAAGACCAAACTTGCACATTCTTTGTTCGCAGGTGCACGCATTGGTGACACTCGGCTGCAGGTGTGCGTGTGCGCGTTTGTCCCTAATGCTCTGTGTCTCATTCTCTCTCTGTCTTTGTGCAGGTGTCATACGGAGAGATGGTCGGCTGTGATAACCAAGATGTAAGTCAACCCTTCATCTCCAGAGACATAGAGACACATATCCTCTTCAAACAACACACTCTATCTGTGCTCTGACAGCTATTGTGACCCTTGGGCAGCCACAATTTTGTAGAGATGACCGCAAACAAAAATCAGTATTGTTTCAGGGACCAGCGATACACTATTATTGATATCAGAGTTGTATCATGGTGATAAAATTATATATATATATATATATATGTATGTATTTTTTATCATTATTATTTTTATCATTTTAATTTATTTACATTATTTGCTGGTTGTTTTTATGATGTTTTGAATGATGCTCAGTTGGAGAAATTGTTCTTTTGACCCTCGTCTCTTCCCGCAGTGTCCGATCGAGTGGTTCCACTACGGCTGTGTGGGTTTGACCGAGGCACCCAAAGGGAAGTGGTATTGCCCACAGTGTACAGCAGCCATGAAGAGGAGGGGAAGCCGGCACAAATAAATGCCAAATCACCTGGGCCAACCTCTCTGAAATGACGGTCCCCCTCGACTGAGTGTACATGTTACATCACCATGTGATCGGGGTGTGTAGATGTGAGAGAGAGAGATCTTTGCCTGAAAGAGTGTGTGTGTGTGTGTGTGTGTGTGTGTGTGTGTGTGTGTGTGTGTGTGTGTGTGTGTGTGTGTGTGTGTGTGTGTGTGTGTGTGTGTGTGTGTGTGTGTGTGTGTGTGTGTGTGTGTGTGTGTGTGTGTGTGTGTGTGTGTGTGTGTGTGTGTGTGTGTGTGTGTGTGTGTGTGTGTGTGTGTGTGTGTGTGTGTGTGTGTGTTTGTAAATCACAACCAAGTTGGGTGTTTTTAGCTGGTGAATCGAAGCACACACTGCCCTCAACTTTTCCTATTTTATGTTTTTCTCTTCATCTCCATTAATCTTTATGGAGGCGGATGGGCAAGATGATATTGGAAAGCCCATTTATTTTATCATTCAAGACATTCCTCGGCTTGCCATGCGTGATGACCCTTCGCATCTGGCAGCTCCTGCTAATCCATATCGGCATAGTATGGATTGACATGATGCAGACTGGGAATTGTAGTGCTGAACTGTTTGATGAACTACAAGTTCAGCTAATACTACACATTCAGCTCTATAAAAAAAAATCTTAAAGGATCCTGATATGAACAGATTACAACAGCAACAGTGACGCCCCATTGCTTGACCAGTGAAAATGTTGTTTTGCTGGATTATTTGTGTGTAATGGATAGATGATGTATTGTGCTCCGCTTAAAGGACATGACTTTTTTTTATTTTAGGGAGGAGCTCTTAAGGTATATAATAGAACAAATGAACAACTGTGACCTGTGTGTATGTTTGTGTGTCTGTGTTTCTAGCCTGTACTGCACTGATGTGGTGAAACATTTTGAGAGATGGGGGTGGGGGGAACAATAAAATGATCAAGAACTTTTGGTACACACTGTCTTAAAGTGCATTGTCGATGATTGAATTCATTTTACAGTTTCTTTTCCAAAGTAGATGTTTCTGGATCAATGACCATTCAGTCCTGGAACTACACTCCTATCAACCAATCAGTGCCCTCTGGTTTTAGTTAGGGCGAGGGAAAAGATGCTGTTCTCTTCATATGATCTAATTTAATTTGTGGCCAACATTTACTTTGTTATTGTGAACTTTAAAGTTCAGACTCATGTGAACATTGTCATAAAATTGCTGTCTCATAAATCATGACCACAATACATGTAATCATGTCAGTGGTCACTACTAATTTTTTAGTCAATGGAAATTGGAGTGTTGCTCCTTTTAAATAAAATAAAAATAAACATTCCTATTTGCACACAACTGAGATGTATGTATGTGTATATATGTATATATCAGAATAGCAATGTATTCTGTTTCATTGGGCTATTCAAAGAGTAAAATGCATGTGCACACTTATCTGTGAAAATGTTTGGAATAAATGGTTTAACGCAAACCTGCAGGTGCGCACTTAACAAATCAAAAGGGAAACCCCAAACACTCTTTTTGGCTGGATTTAACTATCTACCGTTGTTTCCATTTCAACAGCTAGACGAAAAGGTGACGAGACGCGTTTTTAAAAGTTAGGGTGATTTAACTTTTTTTTTTTTTTTTACCGTGGGCTATGCACGCGAGACCTCAAAAAATAGTGAGAAGCGACGCAACGGTCATTGATGTCAGGAAGACGCACGTCTACACTGACCAACAATTAAAAATATATATATAGTGAAATGACCGCTAACACACACCCAGGAACGGACAGGCCTTTAAGTTCAATATGTTTGAGACACCTAGTCGAATTCATAAGTTTAACGCTGTTTGGTAAAGGAAGGCAGGCGCGCGCTCAGCGTGAAGGAGGCGTATCATTACTCTCAGTCATGAGGTTCCGCTGCTCGGGAGTGTTTTTAATCAACCGTGGGGCTACGCAGCTTTGAGAAGAAGAAAAAAAGTAGACTTCAGAGAAACGTTTCACTGCTTGGACACCCGGACCGTTGAAACGAGACTTTACCACTCAGCTCTGACGCGCGTCGAATTAGTTCAAGATTTTCCATGATCATGTCATGAAGCGTCTTCAGATGTGCGCTTCGGATTCCTGAACTGCGCGTTTGAGCGCTTGTCGTTTGACAGCGCACCGTGATCCTTGGGGATGATGTGGGGACCAAACGCACATTCCCAATGGTATGTCTCTTGACTCTATCCAGGGACGTTTGTGCAGAAGTGGGAATGCTTTTCCGTGGGATCTGGACGCTCCGCCGGAGGTGCTGCACGGGTCCCGTTCTGCTGTTTGGGATAGCGGTCGGGCTGTTTTACCACACTGTGACTATGGACCGGGACAGATCCGAGTTCAAGTCCAGTCAACGGGACCAAAGGAACAAATCATCGGTGTTTGAGTATAAACAACTACTCAAGAACCCGGAGAGACTCATATCTCTACTAGAAGCATCACAGACAGATGGTTTTGTAAGTAAACCAAAGGTTCATTATTTCATCATTGCCTATAAATAATAGCAACAACAATATTATTAGTATTATTATTATGTAATTAATATTACAAAATAATTCTACAATATAGAAAAATAGAAATACAAATATTTATGATATAATTCTTAATAATACTGAAAATATTTATATTATTTTGTACTTCATTGTTTTTAAATTTATTGTATTATTCATGCATTTATTTTTTTGTAATCATTAGTCATTTATAATACTGAAAAAAATACTCATAACAGCATTAATACATTTAAATTTAATTCAGACTTTTTTTCATACTGGATGCATTTAGTTTGATATATAGCCTATGAAAAATAAACTTGAAATTGTATTTCCAGTGCTGTATAATGGATGTCACTGGACTTCAGCGGTGTTACAAATGTTGTCCAAATCAAAAACTGTACTTCAAAGATCTCATCACTAGGAGCAAAGCTGTTGCGTTGGGATACTTATCTTACCCCTTTAGCATGAAACCCTTGGTTAAAAATAATCAGTGGGTATTGTTTATTTATGATGGGTGTCTTTGTTGGTGGTATTTTAGGAGTAGAAACTCAAGGCTGGACATTCATTGGTTTAAGAGAGCTCATGAAGGAGGGGTTATTTATGAGTGCATGCTTTTGTCCAAGCAGGGATGATTGACTTCTGCGGGGAAGTGTTATGTCAGTATCGGATAGAAAGATCTGAGGAGAGATGCCAGGAATAAAGAACGTCTGTCATGTAGGATGCCCAGCCAGTGGTTTATTTCTGACTTTTGTATTATGAGGAGGATGGTGGAGCATTTGTGCATGAGAGAGAGAAAGAATGCGCAAAACATGGAAAAGTGTGTGTGAGAGAGAAAATAGGCTCAGTGAGGCAGAAGATGAGGGCAGGAAAGCAATGAGAGGTGAGAGAGGTTTAGTTTTAAGCCATGGATGCGGGACTATGCCTTCCGATAATCCCACACTAACTAACTCTGAGCAGGAAGTATACACTGAGAACCATGACAGCTGTCCTCAATGTGTGTGTGTGTGTGTGTCTTCAGTCGGATAGAGTTATCAGTCTGTCTGTGTGACCCTCAGTGGCTCTCTGATGTGTTTGGAGACCGGACGGTGCCCTGTAGTGTCTGGTTCTGCCATATAAATCGTCATAAACTAGTAGGTAACAGAGTTGTGCCGGAACTGAAGAATTACCTAGTGCAATTGTGGGCATCATGACTTGTTATTGCAAATATTTTGTTGAGTATGTGGGAGTTTGTCTTGTCGAATTAAGGATTCTGGGTATGTGTTTTGTGTTTAGAAGTTTTACACTTCACAACAGCAAGAACAAGCAATACTATAATGTTTGTATGAATGACCATAATGTCATATTACATTATTCATAATGTTCATTTGAATAAAGTGCCTATTCCCATGGTTACTGTGCATACTGTGAAAAGTGAAAAATTCCCATCCCATAAATCATTGCTGTCTCGTCGCCCCTAGAAACTAATGGAGGACGGACATTCACTTTAAGTCACTTCTTTCTGTGCTTTTGGACTGGAGTCCACCTGGTTGTGATCCAGAATCGCACAATTGCATTCACTCTCTCAGCAGATGAACTCCTAGTGTTTACACACACACACACAGAGTGAATGTGAATAACTGCTTTGACTGCTGCCATATGTCAGGCTAATATGAACCACACTATGTAGTGTTTAGACATCACACTTTAGCAGCCAGTTGGATGGTTGTAATCACATACTAATCTCACAGAATCTACACTTAATTTTAATTTATAATATTATTTTTATTTATAATATAATAATAGGCATATAATATAATATAGCCTAATATAATACAAATACAGCATTAGTTATTTTAAATGCTTTATTTTTAATGTATTATACATTATTCAAAATTTAATTTTAAATGTAATGCATAATTCAAATATGTAATACTGAAAAATATTACAATATTAGAATATTTAATACTTATAATTTTACAGCGTTAATGTATATAAATTGAATGAATTAATAATATATTATTCATGAATGCAGTATAAAAAAGGCACAAGTCAAAGCTGTGACTTTGCTGTCAGGAGACAGTGTAACCTACAGTCTAGCACATGCTATTCGTGTTATAGTCTATATTAGGTCTGTGGTTTGCACGAACAACTGCACTCCATCTCTGTTGGTCTGAACGCTCCCCAAAGAGACCGTCTAAGTGCGCATTCAAGTATGCTGAGAGTTTATTGTCTGCCTTTTTGACTGTGTGGGGAGAGGACAAGTACAGGAGGTCAGCAAGTAGCGTGCACTTCTCTTCTACACCATGCGTTGCATTGTTTTGGAGGGTCTAGATGTGGCATAGAGGCGTGTTTGGTATGTTATGTGTTTGATGTGGTTTGCGTTCGAATACGTCTCTAGGAGAGAGAGTAAAAAAGGGTTATTTTTATATATAGGGGCCTCTCGACAGCCATGATTAACCTCTGAACCTTATCCACGGAGCCAGTGGTAACAGAAACCCTCATCCAGAGTGGCACAGAGAGAGAGAGAGAGAGAGAGAGAGAGGTATTTGTGGAGGGGGAGGAAGAAACGAGGAAAGCGCAGAAAAACAGGGAGAAGTAGTTTGTGGTGGGGGGTAAGCTTGAATAAAAATGCTGAGCCAATGCCAAATGTTTAGCCAAGTAAACCATTCACTTTGCATGGACAAGCAGAGTTTGAGGTCTCCTTTGAATCCTAACAGAACCCACATTTTGTTTTCTCTCTCTCCACATCTCAAGCGGTCTCTTGAAGTCTAGGATACATTAACTCAACCCAGCTGCGCTTCGCACTGCGTTCAAATATTGAATTGGGGCTTTTTCTCTGCAGAAAGTTTTTTAGAAGAATAAAAGTAACACTAACACTAACAAGGTAACACTTTATTTCAATAGTTCACTTTAGACATTCTACTGACTATTGCAACTCCATGTCAACTAGCAGTCATTAGAGTATTAGTAGACTGTCTGCTAATATCTGCTAACACTTTTTGATGCTCCTCAGCAGACGTTCTACTGACTAGAAGTAACTTTGCAACTAAATGTCAACTTATTCTACTAACCTGAACCCTAAACCTAACAGTCTACTAGAATCCAAATGTGACATCCAATCGGATTTGTATAGGCATGATTGCTTTGAATTCACAGATCATTTTCTATTTCGATGCAAATGTTTACACACTTGAAATGCCACTGCTCTGATGCGTGTGAGCACTTTAATAATGATAAAATGACGATTTTGTTTGGCTTGCCTTTCCACATTGAGTATAAGGAAACAGAGCAGCGTTTGAGATGATAATGGTATTTTGGCAAGGACAGTAACTCCCAAAGTGTTATCTTGACCACTCAAACACTTTTGGGTGATTTACTCTGGCTTGACTGAGCAGCACTGAATGTTTTGGTTGTCTTCACAACTAAAAATGTAGCATCTGATACCGTCAGTAGTACCAGCACACTTTCTTGTAAGGATCATGTGTTGGATTTCTGCATAGTATCTATCAGGGTGGTCTGTTCTTTATCATGTTTATTGTGTCAGGGGGCATGTGCGGATTGAGTTGTTTGAATTTGAGTACAGATGTTGTTCTGCTTAGATTTGTTTCTTTGTATTGTACACAGCACTTGTGACCCTTTTGTAGTATATGTGATTGCGTGTTTTTCTGCATGTGGGCCATACAAGTCATGACCCTTTGGAGACAGTAGGATGGCCTCTAAAAATAGTAGCATTATTTTTAGTCCAAACACTTTTGGAGTTTAGTTGCACATACCAAAAACACCATCAACTCTGTCTCTCTCATACCCACATATGATATCCCTTAAAAAATAAAAAATAAAACCTCTCATACATGTTCATTCGAGATTTCGTGGACTAGTCTGGTTCCTGTTTAAAATGACCCCTGCTTGTTCATCATCTCCAAGTTAGCAAGCAAAAGCGGATGCTTTCCCCCGAAAGAGCAATTTCAGCTGTGACTGTGTTTTCACAGATCCCTGCACCAGAGGACTAAATGAATATTTATGTGTATATTCATCTCCTGTTTTTATGTGGTGGGAATTAAAGCAAGATTTCCCTGAGAGGATTTAATGTTTTGTGTATAGCTGATTTAATTTCAGATCTTATTAAAGTTAATGTATCATTCTGCTCTCTCAGCTCTTTGGGTTTATATATATATTCATCTCCCTCCCAACTTCCTTTTTATTTCCCTCTTTCTTCATGAGACGTTTCTTATTGGTTGTTATTACTTCCTTTGAGCGCTGGGCTGTTTTAGGGAGCGCTTTAATGAAGTAATGATGTTTGTGTCTTGGGTCGCAGACACGGAGGGTGAAATGAATGCAGTCCAGTAATTGCATGTTTTAGATTAGCGTCTGCAGCCTGAGGTCTCACAGAGGGGGAAGAGAGAGGGAGCAGATTGGAGGAGGAGAGACAGACTGGGAGACGTGGGGAAGAAAGAGTGGGAAACTAAGCATGAATGGAAATGAGATTCCTCTTGTTTCTTTTAAGTTAATGATGAAGTTGGTATTCTAGTGTGTGAAAAGAAAAAAACTAGATTTTTAGTGGTGTTGCCCCATGCAAAACTCACCATCACAATGCTAGGGTGTTGCTATGCAGTTGCCAGGGTGTTTTTTTTAGATGGTTACTTAATGGTCAAAGTCTCAGATATGGCATAGTGTAAATATGGAATTTTTTCACTAGTTTTGTTCACCAAGTGAGTCTAATTGCTTTAAAAAATAATACACATCTCCTCAAAAAACTATTATCCAAAATTAGCCTATATTACATAAAAGAATATATGAAAGGGGAAAATAAAATAAAATATGTAATGAATAATTTTAATGAATTTATATTATTATTATATGCAAATAAAATACTTAAATATAAATATATATAAATAATAAATATATTACTATAGAAATGTATAACTTTTATTAAATTATTATTATTATTAGTAGCAGTAATATTGTTGAAATAAAAGGGTTAGTTATACATTTGTTGATATCAGTATAATTGAAAATAAATATAAGCATTATTTTTACAAATAATAATAATAGTAAAATAATAATGTTGTTGTTATTATTGTTATTATGATTATATGTCAATATAAGTCCTAAATGTAATTAGAAAATATTTAAATATTAAATATTACTTAATGCATAACTCTTTTATTATATTATTATTATTATTATACACAATATTCTCTTATAATGATTTGTCAAAGTTGTTTAGGTTTTTTTTATTTAATTCTTAACGTGTATGAGCAATAGTAAAGAGTCTCTTTTGAGAACTAAATGAGCAAATAATGGGGTGCAGGGGTTGACTTGGCCATTTAGGACCCTTTCATTAATGTGGCTGAGCTCCCAGATGGAAACAGTTACAAGCAGAGGAGGAGTGGACCACTGAGAGAGAGCGAGAAAGATCAGCACAGCACGACTGCAGAAAAAGATGAACACATACAGCGAGCAAAGAAAAGGAATCGGTATCATCCATGCTGAAGGAGAGGAAACGCTCCCCTCCCTTCCTCAGTCACACGCTCTGCCCAAATAACGCTGTGTTCCTCTCAATCGGTTACGCAACATGGAACTGGATGATCGTGTGCTATGTTTAATGACATTTAATAAGACTCATGCTGTCAAACTTTTCCTCTGATGCTAAACTAAACCGTATGCCACAGTTCTCCTGTGCAGTTGCCTGAAACCTGAAATCTGTCCTTCACATGTCCAGGCATCTAAAGTCTACTCTTATCTAATCCTGCTCTCATAGAAAACAGGGTTCAGCCCTCCTCCCTACCTGACGGCCCACAGAGGTCATTACCACGCTACACTGCATTATGGGTACTTTTGAAATGCTCGGCTGCCTTTCTGATTAGCCCCTGGTGTTGTGATCCTCACATGTGACAAATCCAGAGGATTGTTTGAGACCTGTTATATGGAGTCAAATTTGTGTCATAAAGATTTGCGAAACAATAAAGTTCTGCAAAAGAAAAAGAAAATAGAGCAAAATTAAAGAAATAATTAATTGCAAAAATCAATGACAGCTATAAAAGAAGCTTAAGAAAATTTCCTTACCACACCACCTAAGAAAATTTCCTTTCCACACCTCCCTCGAGGTTATGTCTTCAGATCCAGATGCAGATCCCAACAGATCATGCCACCATACTTTGCAATACTTTAGTGTTTCGCAAATATATGTGGCATGGATTTGACTCCATATTGTTATGAACTTCATGGAAAATTTGTAACTTACAAATCAAGTTTATTGTACATTTTTAAAGTTGTAAAGGAAGTAACCTTATATATTCAAATATAAAAGTGTAGTTGCTAATCGGTTCCTCTTTTCTTTCTCTCCCAGGTGCATCATTCTAAACACAGCTGTGTGGGAAAAGCCATTATTCTGACAGGCCGACATGTTCCGACGGACACTGAGGTCCAGTTGTACCAGAGAGTCCTACAGCAGCAGGGTTATCGAGTGGATCAGGCCCGTTATGCAGAGACCAGCGCCTCTCTCAGACAGGACAGAAGAGGTGAGAGAGAGACATCCTGCCCTTTTGTGTGTAAATCCAGGTTATATTACCTATAACAGTACTCTGAATGCTGCCTTGTTTTGCCTTCTAGTGCAACAGTGAACACCTCAAACTATAGTAATATACATGGTTGTCACATGACCTCATTTAGCTAGTAACATCTATTTGTCATCTTTAATATGCTGTTCTGTAAATATGTAAATGTAGCATATTTAATTCAATTGTGTGTTAAATCATGGCTGCAAGTACTTTTTTTTTTTTTTTGCCGACCTGAAAATGTAAACTCAAGAAAGTGCATTGCATTATGGGATATAGTATTCTATTGAGTGTATTGTCACTGCACATATATGTAATAGGATATCTATGTTTAATTATTTATACTGAACTTTTTGTGCATATTATGCACAGTATACATAATGCATACTTAAAATTGTTAGAGTAATTGTTAATATGCTGTTCAGAACATAGCACACATACAGTATCTCACAAAAGTGAGTACACACCTCACATTTCAGCAAACATTTTAGTATATCTTCTCAAGGGACAATGCTATAGAAATGAAACTTGGATATATTTTAGAGTAGTCAATGTGTTGCTTGTATAGAAATATATATTTAATGTCCTCTGAAAATAACTCAACATACAGCCATTATTGTCAAAGTAGCTGGCAACAAAAGTGAGTACACCCTAAGTGAACATGTCAAAACTGTGTTTTCTGTAGTCGTCAGAAAACTGTAGTCGTCCCAGAACTTCCTTCTGGGACGACTGCCATGCAAACCGACTTGTTGCAGGGTATGTCGTATGGTCTGAGCACTGACAAGCTGACCTTCCTTCCTCTTCTGCAACCTCTAAAGCAATGCTGGCAGCACTCATGCGTCTGTTTTTTGAAGCCAGCTTCTGCACCTGACGCACAGCACGAGGACTCAACTTGATTGACTGTTGCAAGGCCTGTTCCAAGTGGAACCCGTCTTGGAAAACCTCTGTATGACCCTAGCCTGTACTGTAACTCAGATTCAGGGTGTTACCAATCTTCTTATAGCCTAGGTCAACTTTGTGGAGAGCAACAATTCTAATTCTCAAATGTTGAACATCCAGTGGTCAGTATGATAGAATTTTACTCAAAGCACAAATTTTAACTGCTCTAATACAAGATACACAAATTTGTATGGTCCTGTCAAGCAGACAAAAACATGAAAATGATGAATAGGACGTGGCTTTGCATGGTTAAACGACGTACAGCTATTATCACTTAGGGTGTACTCACTTTTGTTGCCAGGTATTTTGACAATAATGGCTGTATGTTGAGTTATTTTCAGAGGACAGCAAATATATATTTCTATACAAGCAGCACATTGACTACTCTAAAATATTTCCAAGTTTCATTTCTACAGTATTGTCCCTTGAGAAGATATACTAAAATGTTTGTTGGATTGTGAGGGGTGTACTCACTTTCGTGAGATATGCATGCATAAACTGTATGGGCTCAGGACAGATTGGGTATGTTTGGACTGGCATGCTACCAACTTCTATTTTTGAACCTCGTGTCACAGTATGCAAATTTTCTGGATGCATGGAACTACTTCATTCACAAATATGTGTCGTATACAACCAAAGCGCGGTGCAAATGCAATGCACTTGACTTTTTCCATTTCTAATGTGAAGAATGAACTGGAATTAATGTCAATTGCAATTTTACTGTTTTTTATTTGTTTTTGTTTTTAATATAATCAATTGTTGTTGTTGTCTTTCCTTTCTTTGATTGAACTGAATATTTGTTTTACGCAAAAAGAAATGAAAAGTAATTGTACATTTTCAAGATTGACACTTGTCATGTGACAACAATGTAGCATGCTACGGTTTATTTTTGAATACTGCATAGTGTTTCACTTTTTTTTAGTACGCAGTACACATCACATACTGTATAGTTCGTAGTATGCGAGTATTCCAACCTAGCCAACCGTCACTTGACTGCTGTGAGTGTGTCTTCATGATGTGTGTTTGTGTTGAGGTATCATTGATTGGTATCCAGGGACACAGTCAAATATAGTTAAGTGGTCATTACACAAAAATATTTCCCTGCAGAATGCTGTGATTGACCAATCAGAATCAAGTATTCCAGAGAGTCATATAATAAACTGCACTGGTGTGTGCTGCTAGCTCATGATCTCAGAGGTTTGTTGTTCCCGTCCACCATCAGGTGTTTCAGGGGTTAATTTGGTCTCTACGTTCCCAGCTGGGGTCCTAAAACCCTCCTCCCCATCTCCTCCAGGTCATGGCTGCACACAGAGAGGTGATTGAGATGGAGGCCTCTCTGGCGAACTGTGCCGTTTCGTTTCTGTAAATGTCTTTCACGTACATAGCGTCGACCATTGATACTTGGTTATGTCATAATTCATTCTGATATTTATATTGATGCATAAACTAGTATTATGCAACTTTATTACCACAAATTGAGGTAGTTCAATGTGATTTCGAGCCCTTTCTTACTGATAAAACATACACTCATCTTAATGCCAAGAACGCTGGAGGCATCAGTGTGCTTTCCAGTCCTATTCCATTACTGGCACATTAAACATCTAATATAGTGTATGTGTGTAATGTGTTTGATCGTAGATTCACATGTGGTGACAGTTAGTCAGTACAGTTATATAGTCAGTACAGACTAACGGAGATGCTTATTTAACTAAAGGCTGTTTAGTATGCAGCAGCCACAGGCTGTTGTCTAGGCTTTGGCCTGGAACTCCACTTGAAACCATGGGAAAATCGTTAAGCAGAAGAATTAAGTTAAGCATGGAATTGATTCGAAATAATGTGCTGTTAACAGCATTATTTATATAGAATGAGCTGAAATTATCATGATCATATCAGGAGGGACATGAGAGCTGATTTCCCATGATTCCCTTTGGCTATAAACAGTACTTCCTGTTGTTTGGGCTGGGACGGCACTCAGGCACAAATGTTTGGACTTTATGCCAAATACACACCAGCCCATTTCCTGGAGCACTGCTGACTACCACAATAACTACCAGATGTGCTTTTTCCAGTCTCTCTCTCACTCTCTCTCAAAGAATTTAAAGAAGTTTTATTAGCTCAATAAACAATGGTTCACATTTCTAAAGCATTAATAAACATTACAAATGCACAAACGACTTGATTTAACCAAGTTGAACGTTCCTGGATCAACATTCTTTTAGACTTGGAACAACATTCCTATGAATCAGTCCTATCCCTATAATTGTTCGTAATCCTAACATTAACCCGTATTATTATTATTAACAACAACAATAATAATTGGATATATTTATTTTATTGATTTATTTTTGGTTGGTTAATTAAGCTGTAATGTAATGAAGCTCAGGATATGACCCATTATGTGCCTTAATATATCCTGTTTCAAGTGGACCGACCTTGTGCTTGCTAGATGGCTAATGGGACATTGAACCTCTGGTCTAGCATTTGGTGAATTAAAAACGCCACTCATAAATCATATATGTTTGCATGCAGAGAGATTGCGTACGCCGTATAGGGGGCTACACGTCTTTGATGCCTTGATCGAAACCATGACCGTCCCTCTTTTAATTCAAAGCAGTAAAAAAAAAAAAAAAAAAAAAGTTAAAAGAATGTCAAGTATACATGAAGGCAATCTTATTCCAAATGGAAAATTGGCTCATTTTCTTCCTGACTGCGCTTAGTGTTGCCACAGCATTATGTAATCCACTTTTGTCCTCATTTTTAGGACTGCAAAAGGACTTCACAACTATTGGCCGTCTTTATTATTAGAACGAAGATTTTTCCAAGCCTTAAGCTTTCTTCCTTATCTTCATATTATGAAAATAGAGACCGCTTCACTTAAGTTTTTGTGTTCTTTTTCAGTGTTTACTCAGCTATACTTTGGGGACTATTGTCCCTATACAAGTGAGCTAAATATGACAAAAACCTCCCTTTAGGGACATTCAGGGATGTTCTTCTTCCTCAATAAAATTATGGTATTTCAACATTTACTGGTGAAACAGAAATGTATATATTGGGCCACACAATTTTGAATTCATGGGGCCTTTAAATTATAATAGAGTTGTTTATGAATAGGGTTTGGGTTCATCTACAGTAGTAATAAATAATAATATTGAACTTTATTTTAAAAAACAATAGAAATGTACGTCCTTATTTAGATTTAGCCAAAAAAAGTGTGTGCTGCTGAACTGCCTTAATCATCTCTTTTTGGCAAACTGTCATCAGCATAAAGTCAGTGCTGATCTTACCATCTTTTTTTCTTACTTTATTTCTTCATCTGAATGCTAAATATACTCTCTCTTGAACACAGATGGAAGAGACTGGTCTGTCTTGATTTGCCTAAAGGGCTCTGAAAAAAGTTGCCTGCGAAAAATCAACTTTGCCCATCCGCAGCACCACCAGAGGGTAAGACCACCCACTCCCTAGCTGACCCAAACCACATCCAGCGCTCTTGAAGAGATTCCTGTTTATGATCAAATGTAATGCACAATCATTTAAAAAATATGGCCTGTTATAGATCCGAAACTGAGAAGGAAAATCAAACACAAAAGCCAAGTGCTTATGCCAAATGCTTTTTGTTTGAAATGCATGTGAAATAAGATCCGGTCCAGAGGTTCAAAGGGAATGTTTATATAGAAACCAGGATGCAGTAAAACACTCTCTAAATGCAGAAAATATATAAGAGCTTGAGCCATTCTTGTATTTTACTTACAATTCATTTTAAACCTGTATTTAGTAATGCTAATATACTGATCAGATTTGCTTAAATATCCCAGCTGTTGCGAGTTTCTTGGGTCAGTTATAGTTCTGCATGGAATTGATCCAAGAACAACTGCTACTTACTGTCAGTTATTAAATATCTCTTGGTTGTAGGCCGTTAGTCATCTCACAGGATCTTAAGGCATTACCGAAAGACTGTTTTAAATGTTTTTAAACTTTCCACCAGGGTGGTCTTGGTTAAACTCTGACCTCTTCACACAGGTTAACATAATACCAGCCTTTGCTGGAGCGTTTCTGGACATGGGCGGAGTCTGCCGGTTTTTGACGGACAGCCAGTTGTCAGGTGAGCTGGAATATTCCAGGCATTTTGTTTTTAACACTGATACTGAGACATTAATATTTGCAGCCACAACATGATATGAGTAGTTTTTAAAGTGTTGAATGAGTTTGTTCTGTGGAACACAAAAGGAGACGTTTTGCAGAATGTTCATGTTTCTCTTTTCTGTATGACAAAAGCAGTCCAGTGATCTGGGTTTTAAAAAAATAACTAAAATCACCATAAAAGCAGTGACGTGCGCTATATTCTAAGTCTTCTAAAACAATATGACATATTTTTGCAAACCTAAAGGGATATATTCTCATAAAAATGACATTTCTGTCATCATTTACTCAACTTCATTTTGTTCCAAACCTGTATGACTTTTTCATCTGTGGAACACAAAAAATATATATATTTTATAGAGTTTGAACCATTTTTTTTCCATCTAATGAAAGTCAGTATTAATTATATCCCATTATTGAATTTATTTATATTTTGAATGATATATTTTTCATCTTTTCAGGTTTCATTTTAATTTGAATTTAAGTTTTAGTAATTGTATGTGCTTTTGTTATTTTTGTAAGTTTTTGTAATATTTATTTTTACATTTAATTTAGTACTTCATCTTAAACTTATCAGTTAGTTACCAAGGCAACATTTCTAATTTTTGTTTGTTTATTTTTCAAAAAAAAAAAAATGTTATATTATGTCATATTATATTTTATTTTATTTCAGCTTTATTTAAATTGCCAAAGTTAACAAAACAACACTGGGTCAAAAACAACCCCTTTGGCTTTCATTAGGATTTCAAATTCCTTGATGATAAAGCTTCATCATTTAAATTGGATGGAAAAACAAAGCCCATTCTCAATTTAACTGACGTCTTTGACAGTGTTGTGTGTGTGTGAGAGGCACTTCTGTCAGCAGTGTGTTGGAGTGCTTTAAGGTTTTCTCTGTAATTGCTTATAAAAGTCAGTGTCAAGGGTGATATGAATGGATATTAAAAGTTAAGTGCAAATAATAAATGCCATTTAATTTCAGCAATAGTGAGTTTTCTTAAATGTCAGAGGAATGCCGTATTTACAAAGCTCTTTGAACTTGATCATGCTTAATTTAACTACTTTAAACCAATTATGGGCATCACCACTGAAAGACCTCAAAGAAGGAGGATAACAGTGCCTATGTTTTGTGACAATAATGACCGATTTTTCACCCGCTGCCCCTGTGGCATCAAGACCGCCCAGCTTCAGAAAAGGAGGCTTTGTCTCCAGCTCTGAAACAATATTGTCCTTCCTGTTGGCCCGTCGCCCACAGAAACAAGAACGATTGAGTCCTGGTGTTTGGGGTTTGGCTAGGCAAGGTTGTGTCCTCTTCATAATCATATCTGAAGGCAGGCGTACAGTAGGGTGCACAAATATACACATGACATGGACGGGTCAGTCACCAAGTTGAATGTAAACTCAGCATAGCTCACACACTTGTGTTGGGAGTGACCTGGACTTTGGCAAAAGCCCGAGTTACAGAGATCCTGATGTTTTTCCAAGTGTTTCATTAGGGTTTGGGGTTTGAAACGGGGCCCAAGGCTGGTGTGGTGTGTGTTAACTGAACAAGGTTTGGAGATGTGTAATGTAGAGATGTTTGAGGGTCTTAAGCATTGCTTCAGTTGTGTGGTGTGGCGGCATCCTTTCTCACGTGTGTGTTTCTGATTATATGGTGACACGAGGACTGGAGTGGAATCAGTGAAGGAATTTACATTCGCACAGCAGTGCCAGATCACTCTCTCACTCAGAAATGCTGAGCTGTGCATGTGTTGATATGAAGCCTATAAACACACATTTGCACACTGCACACACTTTGACTTCTATTGGTATTTGAATAAGTTAGTTATAATTGCAATCAAATGATCCTATGTGGCCTCACAGGACCGTGATCTGTGTGCACCACCACAGAAATACGAACTGAAGAGACAAAATGAACTGAGACTCATCACTTGTTGCGAATGTGGCTGCTTTGAAGAGGAAGCTTTTATCGCTAGTTGTTTTATCGTGTCACGTCTGGCACATGTCACTCTAAAATGCAACTTCTGGCAGTTTCAGAAGTGAATGACGACATGTAGTCTCTTTGTTAACAATGTTTCCATTGAGAATGTGTCCATATTGCAAAACATACCGTTCAAATTCAGCAAGGATGTATTACATTTATCATAGTCTTTTGCACTGTTACCAACAACATCTTTCAGATAAATGCTGAACTTTTTATTCATCAAAGAATCATGAAAACAAATGTATCATGGTTTCCACAAAAATATTAAGCAGCACAACTGTGTTTAACATTGATAATAATAAGAAAAATAAATGTTTTTTGAGCATTGAATCAGCATATTGGAATGATTTCTTGAGTTATTCAGTTATTTTAAATTGTAATATTCACAGTATTACTGTTTTTACTGTATTTAGAATAAATTCAGCCTTGGTGAGCATAAGAAACCTACCTTGTTTTAACCAAAATCCACACACCTTTTCATGGAGAAAGGAATGCATTTTGACATTAAAAATCATTCTAACATGGCAGATGAAGTGAGGAAAACGTTAATTACTTTTAACTTTTTAAAAATGAATTTTTTTGCCTAATATTTGTGTGCAGTGCAATTGAATGACTAGCTTGCTGTTAGCTTAGCATCATGCTAATGTCAAATTCTTAAATAATCTGAGATTAAAGTCTCTAGTGCGCTTCATCATTGTTTAGCACTTTCTGCCTATGTAGTGCGTCCAAAATCAATCACTTATGAGGTTATGAGGCTGCATTGTGTTGACGGTTAGCAGTAAGACAGGCAGCTCACTCTGTTATAGAGCAGAGCTTCAGTTTATTTATCACAGAAGCAAAACCTGCATGTGAGAAACGTGGTGAGACTCAACGATTCGCTATCGTGGGATCTCTAGACAGATGTCTGGAGGTCTTTGTGGAAAGAATTGAAGTAGTTTTGGCCTTCATGTCGATGCATGTGCTATGTGTCTTCCTCACAGAGGAAATCAATGTGCCTGACTCTATCCTCCTCCTGCCTTCTGTTTTTCTTTTCTCAGGAGTGACATTACCCATACACCCTTCAGCCTGTGCTTTTTCCACATCTCCACAAGAGGGAACCCCAAACACTGCTGAAGATCAACAGTAAGTCATGCCACATCTGAGGGAAATGGCCAACCAAAAATGTTTTTCTTCAGAGTTGTTGTGATTGTATCCTACAGGAGGCAGTCAATCACACGCTCAGACAATCAGGGCCTGAATGCTACTGTAAGTGTATACGTCCTGGTTACCTCTGCAACACCGCTGACCGCTTTCGTCCACCGCACAGCCTTGGTCAAAACCCACCTGGATAAAACTAGTTATGCTATTGAGGTAAGGAAACATTTTCCTTAGAGTGAGAAAGCTGTAAAACAATTACAGTTTTAATAAAACAATATCTGCATGTCAATACTCAAATGAGCTTAGAAATCTTTATTAGGTGCCTTTTGGCTATTTTGATTTATATTGTTAAATCAGATCAGATGAGATTACTCTAGTCTTAATATTGCAGTTTGTATCCCTGTGCTGCAGTTTACTGATGATGAAGGCTTGGCTAAGCATTTATTCCCCATGTGATGTTTATTAGGCCTCCATGCAGCTGTGAAACACTTATCTCGTGTGTGTGTGTGTGTGTGTGTGTAATGCCAGATTACTGAAGAGGCTTCAGTCAGAGTCTTGTAAACAGCTGGAGGGCACATTGAGATCTAATATGAGACAGATCATGTTTACTGAGTTTCAATGGTTGATAAAAGAGTCCTGACAAACAAGCAGATCACTATAAAGCCTTCATAAAGGTCTGCTCGTTCCCCTCTGGTCCTGTGTGTGTGTGTGTGTACCGTGTGATATAGATCAGAATCTCATGCAAAACTGACCATTTGTGTGCAACAATGTGTCCTTGTGACAAAATTTCCCCTTAGTGTCATCTTCATTAAATAATGTTAGGGTTAGAGTTGTGTCTATGGTAGCTTCTAATTAAGATGGTTTCGTACACGTTTTGTGTGGTCTAATGTTATTTCACAAGCATAAACAATTGTTCTTCTACTGCCCTCTAACTGCACTGCTCTGTCATTACTCTTCAGCTGGGTTCATCAACCTCCTCTTTCTCTTGTACTGCCGTGTACAGTGGAATGGTTTCTCCCATGTGATGATAGATACTGTGTACAGATCACTCACAATTTAAAGTTAGCATGCCAAATACACATTTCATATTTTTACTGTTCACAAAGATGTTCTTGAAAACACTGGGATTTATTCAACTTAATATTAAAGGGTTAGTTCACCCAAAAATGAAAATTCTGTCAGTATTTACTCACCCTCATGTTGTTCCAACCCCGTAAGACCTTCGTTCATCTTCGGAACATGAATTAAGATATTTTTGATGAAATCTGAGTCCATAGGCTTCTTCAGGGATTGAACTTGCCGGCCTCGAAAAGTTATTAAAGATATCGTTAAAATAGTCCAAGTGACTACAGTGGCTCAATCTTAAGTTTATCAAGGGACGAGAATACTTTTTGTGCGCAAAAAAAAAAAAAAAATAACGACTTTATTTCAACTATTCATTTCCTTCTCTTTGGGCCTCTAGTCAGTTAACGTAGTGTGATTCCGTAGAGCTATGTCACACGTAGGCTCACTATTGGCCGACGCTGGTCATGTGCGTGATGCGTGTGACGTACAACAACAGAAGCTTACGCTATTACACTAGTGAACTGACTCGAGGCCCACAGAGAAGGAAATGAATAGTTGAAATAAAGTCGTTATTTTTTTTTTTTTTTTTCGCACAAAAAGTGTTCTCGTCGCTTGATAAACTTAAGATTGAGCCACTGTAGTCACTCGGACTATTTTAACGATGTCTTTAATAACTTTTCGAGGCCGGCAAGTTCAATCCCTGAAGAAGCCTATGGAGGAATGATCCAGCTCTCAGATTTCATCAAAAATATCTTAATTCGTGTTCCGAAGATGAACGAAGGTCTTACGGGGCTGGAACAACATGAGGGTGAGTAATTACTGACAGAATTTTCATTTTTGGGTGAACTAACCCTTTAAAGGGGTGGTTCACCCAAAAATGAAAATTGTCATTATTTACTCACCCTCAAGTTGTTTCAAACCTGCATGAAGTTCTTTCTTCTGTTGAATATAAAGGAAGATATTTTGAAGAATATGGTCCCCATTGACTTCCATAGTATTTTTATTTCTATACTATGGAAGTCAGTGGGGACCAGAATATTTGGTTACCCACATTCTTCAGGATCTTGAAATGAATATAGTTTTGGAACAACTTGAGGGTGAGTAAATTATGTCAGAACTTTCATTTTTGGGTGAACTATCCCTTTAACTGCATAGGCTAAACACTATGCAAAATTATAAAAAAATGACACAAGCTGAATAGGAAATGTTTCTGACTTCTAACTAATTATTTTATAGCTATGTAATTGGTACACCCAGAAAAAATGAATTTGTACTGCAAATATCCTTTACAACTCGATCTCCACTAGGTGGTGACAACTCGTACTAAAACTTGTTGACAGTTAAAGTCTGTTTTTCACATGGGAGAGTTTTTGTCTTAGTTGCTGTGGCAGTATGCATGTCACTACAAAACCTGTTCATCAATACTGATTTAACAGTGTAGAACTTGCAGTGTTCTGCTTAATTTGTTTAGAGAGACTGAACGGATGCTGAATGATGGAGTGATGAGATCTCTCTGTTATTGATGCTCTTCATCTTTGGGTTTATGTACTGTGTCAGACCTCTCTCTCTCTCTCTTTCAGTTACAGGGATTCTTTAGAGAAAGACTGGGTCTTTTGCTCTCTCATCAAGCCATTGATCACATGAATCATGTTATCAGCGACATCCTGAAAGCTGCCCTATTATCCACAAAGGAGAGCAGCTCTTCACCAAGGTCATAAACACACATCACCCTGAAAGTGCCCACATACTTTAATCTTAAAAAAGTGTATCTTGCGTTGGGCAATATATTTGTTATCAGTGTTGAGGAAGTAAAGTAATTCATTAAGTAACTAATTGCATTACCTAGTTTTTTTTTATGGAAGGTAATGTGTTACTTTTGCATTACTTTTTCTCATCTGGGCTTGTTTGTTTTTAATAAAATAATAAATAATAATAAAAAGCCTCAGGTTGAAGGAAATGTAAATTCACACCTGTACAGTAGAGGGCGCAGCACAAACAAACCTGGATTGCAGAAGAATAGGACGAAAACTGTTGACCTTATTGTAAAGTGTTACCGAACTATTAAACCTGATAAACGTTTTTTTTCAATGCATGACTAAAACTGTATTTGTCCTGTATTTAACTTAAAAGCCATTGATTCGATAATTTGTTTATTAATAATACTTTTAGCTGTACTGCATATATAATTTTATAATATACATGTTGATCAGCTCAATGTATAAAATGTTGGTTTTTTTTATTTATTTTTATTTTTATTTTTATAGGTGTAAGCTGTGTTTTCAGTTAATGACCTTCTCATTGCACTATAACGCTTCTCTTCGTCCAGTGGTGGTGAAGGTAAGAATGAACAGCCAGCCATGATCTGCCATGCAAGCTCTCAATATGACCACTAGATGGCAGCACATCAACACACACTCTTTCTGTCTCAGCTTCAGACTGATCTACACTTCGATGGAATGAAGGACCCTCACTTTGACGGACAGATAGCCAAAGAGTATATGCTGGAGGATGTGCTGAAACTGCTTTTCCCAGTATGCAACAGTGCGCCCAGTTCACCTCTTAGCACCCAGGAAGAGACCCAAAAGGTAAAACGGACGTCCGTGTGTCCTTATGTTTTCAAACGCAAGTTAATTAATTAACAGTTCTTTTTTTATGTGTCCTGACTCCTTTTGGAGTGGATGTAGGCACATGCAAAAAAATGTTTTCAGAACATTTATTCTGTGAGAAGAAATAAAGTGTCCAATAACAGGTTTTACCAAGATTAAATTTGAATTCGGCCGGTCATATGATCTTGACATATTTGCCCCCATGAGGCAACTTGGTCCATGTAAAATAAAACCGCCACTGAGTTTGTGTGATTTTAAACGTATGTAAATTTAAAAGGACATTTATGAAACACTAGTAGAACCAATTTTATGAACCCATTCTTGCAATAATCAATGCATTCAATTCAGTCCAAAATATTTTTTTTTCTGCTTGTGTTTTATAAATGAGGCCTATTTAATAAAAAGTGAATTAAAATGTCAAATAAGTCATTTCTCATGCCTTACAAACAGTCCATTTGTATTTATTCGGTTCAATTTCCTTGTCTTCTTTGTTGCTTTGTAAAATAGTAATTTTTTTCCCATGCACATCAATAGTTTTTATCATTGTGGCCTGATTATTTGAACTCGTGCTGCAGTACGGTGACTGTGAGGGGCCAAACGGTCTGTGTCTGCCTCCAGATGAGATGCATTTACTACGGCAGTTTAATCAGCACCTCAAAAGACCAGGACCCTTCCAGCTGGTAAAGACACATTTTCTGTACTTTTAAAGATGCTAATATTAGCTATAGTATATATGCTTTTTAATATGGACTAACAGGCATACATTTTATTGAATTTGACATGCAAACGTGCATCATGTTTGAAGGATCTTTCCATGTAAACTTATCGCATAATAAACCTGTATGTCCCTGTTGTGCATTTTTGCCTGTTAAATAAATTGTGTCTGTGTGTGTGTGTGTTGGCAGCTGTACCCTATATCTCCTCCTCCTGATGATCTCCACCATGATCTAATCCAGGGAGAGTCCCTCAGCGCACAGGATTGTGGATGGAGACCAGCTCTCATGGCCCTGCTCCAAGAACTCAGCCTTTACTACATGAGAAGACATCAGACTGAAAGGTTACACACACACACAAACACATACTTGCACATCATGAGACATTTGCAGATTCCCCGGGTCATATCATCAAGCCTTATTCTTTCTCCAACGATGAGATGAGTTATGCTGCAGGCGTGCAACAATTCTGCAAGGGTCCGGAGATCATTTCATACAAATTGTTTTGTACTCAATCATTCTTAGTGATGTCCTGGTTTAAGCCTGTGGTGCTTTGGGTCATCTGCAGTCCTGTCAAAACATTTGTTTTTACAGTATTTCTCACACAATATCTCCCAAACCTCCTGATGTCTTACTTTTATATTCCTCTTTTTTTCTCCGTTTAATTTTCTCACTCTCACACACCATCTGTCACTGTAAAGAAACTTGAGAAAATCCAAAGCCCTATTGAGTGAATTATTCTATTTTATATAATAATATTATTATTATTACTTAATGGCAATAATACATTTGAAATGGTTTACAATTAAAAAAATACTGTCAAATACACTTTTGCATTTTCAGAATAGCATAATTTCACATATTCTTTCATTTAAAAACGGTTAAAAAAAAGTTCTGTTGTACAAAGTTATAACAGTCTTTGAACATCTTACTACCTCGAGGAATAATTGCAGCAAGGATCGTTATCATGTCAAGTCCTTCAAACAAATGAAGACACCTTTTCAAGCCAACACTGATAGTTTTTATATGTTAAAATGAGGAGGTGAAAGTCATAAAATGCTTGCTTTTGCTATTCCAGGAAAACAATGTGCTAACGTTCCATTCTTCCAATCACCTGCATTAATAAAGCATTTTAGAGCACTTGTTGAGTTTTCTATTAAAAATCGCTGTACTTTCTATAATTCCTACAGCTTGGATGAGCCAAAGAGCCCAGAGGCATCAGATTCACTGTCAAGAAAAGGCAAGTACCATGTGGTAACATATTAACCTGACTATAAGAATTACAAATAAACATTTGTATAAAGCACCTACTGTTTTTACTTAATACAAATACATTTATTAGTGTAATAACTACACTGTAAAGGTCACGCTTGCACACTGCCTCGGAAACTTTCGGCCGTTATAAAAAAAAATCGAATCGGGTTCGATTTTCTGCGTTTTTCGCATCCATAGCAAGCAGTTTGAATGGTGTTTGTTTGGTGTTTTGACAATTCAGAGCCACCGAATCACGAATACGAAAAAACGCATACGAAAATTTCGGACTCGGTGTGCAAGGGCCTTAAAGCCGAAGTTGGCAAAACTGAAAAAAAAAAATTTAAGTTAAGAAATTCAAAGTTTAAGTAAGCAGAACTGGCAGATTTTAATTTTGTACTCTTACATTTTATTTGGTCTTAACTTGAAATATTTGAGTAAGCTAATTCATAGATTTAACTTAAAATTATCATGTCTCAACTTAAATATTTTTAGTAGTGGCAATGTGGCTACCTTTTAACTATTATTCAGTAAATTTTAACTTTCTAATTGGTACCACAATGCTTTGATAGTATTAGCATGGCATAGCAATAGCTAGAGTACAGCAAAAAAGAACAATTATCATATTTCTGTTCTCAAACTAAGCTCATGTTCCACTCGTCAACATGATGGTAACCCCCCCCCCCCCCCCCCCCCCAAAAAAAAAAACACATAACAGAAACTCTTCTAAATTAGCATAGCAAAACAAACACTACTAAATCTCCCATTTAACATTAATCTTGCACAAAAAGCATTATATAACACTTGATTTTAGCATTTACTCACCCTTTCGAGTGTCATGGCAAAGCATGCTGGGAAATAGAAATCCCAGCCCAGTTTCAGTCTAAATTAAAAGAAACAATTAATGTGTTAAAATGAGTTAGTTTTGTGGAAAAGAAATTGCTAAATACTTCATAAAAGTTCATTTGATTGAACTACTCAATCCAATTAATTGTTTTGACAATTATTTTTTTATAGGTAATCAGTATGAAACCATTAAATGCGCCTTACTTCTGTTTTAAGGGAGGTGTGTTGATCCCCACCTGAGGCAGTTGTACACGGACCCTCCGATGGCCCTGGTGCCGACATTTAACGCATGGATGAAGGAATATCGAGCCGAGGTTCCATTTGATGTGATGACCATTCATATCCGGCCAGAACCAGTCAGCCCACACTGTCATATTCACCTGGACGAACATCGTGGACCCAGGTAGACCGAACACATATGGCATAACCACAAACTCAATGGCCAGATTGTAGAATTAATTATTGTGGCATTCAAATGTACATTTAAGAGATTAATTTGATGTGCATAAAATCACGGACACTTTACTGTGTGGACTGAGTAGCCATGCAGTCAGTGTTGTAAAACACAGCAGCTTGAGCTGGGAAACAATGAACAAAGGGTCTGCGGTACGTTAGTGCCGTCGCTGCTTTTTTCTTGGTAATCAGATCTAGCTTCTTATGTGTCAGCTCAAACTCACTTCACCGTTTGATTGATTTATCAGATTAATTTCTGAATTTGCTTTCCCATGCATGGCGAGTCATACACACACACACATTTAAAATCCCTGATTACTGTCTACTGGACTCCATTACACCCTGTAATCTCTAATACCCACAGAGGGGAAAACGTTTAAAGCTGACCCTGACTCAAGATTATAATAAGAAGCTATTGGGCTTTTAATTGGTATTTAATCAAGACATGTTTAATGATAATAATAAATAAAACAGTCAACAAATAACATGGATATGAATGCATTTTATAATGTTCAATAATGTATATTTTAATAATATATATATATATATATATATATATATATATATATATATGTGTGTGTGTGTGTGTGTATACAGTAGTCAACATTTTAAGTGGATCAAAACCTTTCATCAAAGTAATGAATTTTGAACAATACCCGTTCTTGTCTTAGGACAACTTTGATGAACTTTTTTGATCCACTTCAAATGTTGACTATATATCAACCTGACTTCATTAGATTATATCAATGAAAGTAATTTTATTGGTTAGATTACATATTAATAAATCCTTAATAAAACAACTGCAAGTTCCAATTTTTTACAGTGAAGCCTTTCGGAGAAAGACTCAAATGTAAGGTTATTAGTTCTACTCGTAGAAAGCAAAGGGTTGATGGATCCGTCTGAAAGCAGTCTGGGCTGTCTCTTTTCTCAAGGTTTTGTGAAAGCACAGACTTATTTTTCCACGAGTGAGGGGTCACCTGTTGACTGGGACCCAGTTTTAATCCACAGTAATCCTCCTCCCCTGTCACAGCAAGAATAACCCCAAAAGTGAAGGGTGTGTGTGCGTGTGTGTGCGCATAAGTGATCGGGTACGCTGAGTTCCTCAGAACTTTCTTCTGTTTCTTTCAGAATGGCAAACTATCCAGTTGGCCTGGGCAACAGCAGAATCAACATTCTGGTGATGGACGAATCAGAGGCCGAGCCTGTCGTCATGACGATATACACTCTGCACATATACCGTGAAAGCAGGCCCAGTCTGCCAATGTTTGATGAGTATGTGATGTGCAGCTTTGTGCAGGTACGCAGGACAAACACACACACTCTCACCAACTCCTGCCCTAAACTCAGCAGCAGACCCTAATACACACATCTGTCTAAGAGGAATTTGTCGGCTTACATTCCTACACTCTCAGAAAAAAGGTACAAAAGCTGTCACTGGGGTGGTACCCTTTCAAAAGGTACACCTTTGTTCCTTATTTACCCCTAAACGGTGCATATTAGTATCTTAAAGGTACATATTCAAATGGTACATACAACCCCAGTGACAGATTTTATACCTTTTTTTTCTTTTCTTTTTTTTTCAGTAGTCTTGAATCTCTAGAACTGGTTTTAAACCAAGAAACTCTCAATTTGAGGATTTTTTACTTCCATCTTGGATTCAGTCCATCCAACACTCAGTCACTTTCTTTCTTGTGGATGTTCAGGTTTCAGTGCAAGCTGATAGCTCTGATCGTAGACTCACAGTTATACTGGATCACAGCAGGTTTCTGTCACACAGTGTTGACTCATGCTTGTGTGTGTGTTGGGGTGGGGGTTGGGGGGGGGGGGGGGGGGGTATATTTATGTCTAAAATAAAATTAACACATTGATAAATGATTTAATCATTTCCATTTATATGCAACAATATTTACCTACATCTATATTTTATTAAAATTTTTTACCGAATAATTGTAAAATGTAAAAGCCCAGCAAAATCTATGAACTTTTTGAGTGGGATGCAAATGAATCATTGAATTATTTTAAAGGGACAAACAATAAAACACAATTTTTGTTACTTATGTTTTAAATATCCAAAATGTATTTTAAATTTTCACTACTTCTCAATGATTTTTTTGTATGTCATGCTTCTCTGGATCAACGTGATGCAACAGAATGGGGAAAAACGCCAAATGAGTGAACAAGAAAAAGAGAGAGTAACAGTGTTCGTGACTCTGTGGATCTCTAGCTCATTATGAAAGTGTTTTATGGCTGTGTATGTCTAGTGATAATGAGCTGATGACAGTATAGTCCTTAGGGATTCCTGTTCGGTTGGAGCTTCAGTGAGCATCAACCACTTTCGGATTCAGACATCATAAGTTAGGCGTAAGTTACTGGAGTGTTCTCTGAAAAGATTTAGAACTTTAAAACTTACCAAGTGACGAGCTGTGAGTTTTCTTAATTGGTCAATCTCATTCTCTAGCTGTGTTTTTGTAAAATGAACATACATAGGAGATTAAACAAATTCCTCCGTATGTTCTCAATTGTTCAGTTCTATTCTATTGAACACCAGAGACTTGATGTTAACATGCACAAAGCATGTTAATGTGTCTGGGCTGACCACTTGTGATCGGATCAGCCAAGACAAATATTATTGTCAGGTGTAAACAGAGCTTTTGATTGAATATTTGGGATAGTTTTTACCAATCGGACCAATTGGTAAGACTGTGTCCTGTTTTGGAAGACTTATTTTGGTCTCCGATCTATCTTCAATGTGTATGAGGATTGCAACAGCTCCTTTCTTACACATGACATTCCTTCATTTATCCCTTGATCCCTGGAGGGGAGAATGGGCTGGAAATCGAGCATTTTATCACGTTTCCCCTTCAAAGACAAATCAAAAGGTTGTCTGAGGCTTTATTTACAGCGAGACAAACATATTCATAACTCTTCTCTCTGTGTGTCAGGGACACAATCCTAAAACCATAAGCAACATCAGAATTTACTGACTAGCGTTCACATGGGTATATTCAGAAAGCAACATTCTGTTGATGGAGTGAACAAAAGATATATCCATATGTGTCAAAAGATAATTCACCATGTGTACCTCATTAATACACACAGGACTTCCTGACCTCATCCAGCATATAAATACGAGCACTAAGCTTGATGAATTGTCCACTGTTTTACATCCAGCTGGAAAAGTTTTGTTTGCAGCACATCATCTCCTTTGTTCATTCACTTATTTAAGGGTGACATGAAGCATTACCCAACATCCCTGATGATGATGTCAATTTTGTCAGTTTTAGGGAATTTATGTACTATAGTTTTCATTTAAATGAACAATAGTTGTTTATTTGTGTGTGTGTTCCTCCATTTTATAAGATTTGAATTTAGAATAAGATTTGAAAATACAAACATGACCTTTTCTTCAATAAAACTTAACTGTGTGGTTTGTAAAATATTTTAGACATTACTTTCTTCAGCACAAATTAAAGACACAGTTCATCAAAAACTAAAAATCGTTATTTACTCTCCTTGTCATTCCAAACCGATGACTTTCTTTCTTCTGTTGAACAGAAAGGAACATATTTTAATACTGTTTCAACTGTTTTTGTCTCTGTTTATCTCGGTCTCTCTCATCATTAGTCTAAACCGATATAAAGTAGATGATGACATAGTTTCTTTTTTAAAAAAAATTTTATTGAGGCATCCTTTTAACTGACTGGTTTGCTCTAAAGCTCATTTTTAAATAAAAGTGGGTGCTGTTTTCTGACTTTCAGGAAACGTTCTCCACATCTCTGTGTTGACATGGCTTGTGATTGAATGGGTTTTGACTAGGAAGCATTTTTTTTTGAGCAGAAGCCACAATGTGGTTTTATAAATCTGGAGCTGTTCCCATGCATATGATGGGTGTTTTTCAAACTTCGAGGTGACGTTCAGACATAACGGAGAAGATTGGCTTGTTGGCGTCTGTTCTGTTGATTTACATAGATATTTTTATTTATGAACTTTTCAAATGTTGGCACAGTCTAAAGTCAACTCTTTTCGTTTTCCATTTGTATCTCACGCCAAGAAGACACATAGGGTGGTCTTGAGGGAAAACAATGCAAGAGACTTTAATTCTTTCCAACTGCATATGCGCATCTTTTTACACCACAATCCTTCTAAGGAGCGGTTCACACAAGCGTTATGGACAGCAGTGGAACAGAACGCATGGGTCGCGTTTTAACTTGACACGCCGTCATATAAACATGCCGCTAGATGTTACACAACTGCAAAGACATTCGTATTCAGACACTCAGAGCGTCTCTTTGTCCTGCTTTAAGTGGATTACTGTGGAAAACATTAGTGCAGAAGGGACAGGGGAGGCAAGGTGGCAGCTCAGAGGAATTCTTTTGAAGCTACAGCATGTCGACATCCACGTCCACCATCTGCCCTCCCTCTCCTCTTCTCAACGCTCTCTCTGTTTGTCATTACAACCCTCTTCATCCATCAAAGCTTTACGGTGGCATAAAATCACCCCTTTTTGACTCTGATGCTAAAGCAATTAGTTTAGATTGGACTAGTAAAGGAAAATTTCACTCAAAAAAGGGAAATCATTTACTAATCCTCTTGTCTTTAAATCCCAAGCCCAAAGTCTTTTGTTGTTGTTGTCGTTCATATAATGAAAGTCAATCGGGTCCAAAGTTTTTTGACTTCAAGATATTATCTGTTGTGTTCTGAAGCAGAACGAAAGAGTCATATAGGTGTGGAGCAATAAGGGTGAGTAAATCATGCCACAATTTATAGGGTGATCTATCCCATTAAATTATTGACTCTATATTCCAAATTCTTCAGAATACTTGAAAAATCCATTACAAGTGGACAACCTTTACGATACATTTATGGTGTTTTTGAAACCATATTTGAATCTTGAAACCTGAAGATCTTTTCTCTGAAACATGAACCTCGGCTTTTTCGATATGGTGGATTGTTACTTCTCTCCATTCTCTCAATTCTGAGGCAGTTAAAGTGAGTGTGTCTGTCTCTCGTTCCTTCGTCTGGTGTTGTCGTTAGTCAACTGACCCCTGCTTCCTAAAGCCCACTCCAGCTGAGAAGTGTACCACAGTGTGTTTGGCACACTGGTGTGTGTATGGAGTCTTCTGGGTTTATGGAGTCGGTAATTAGGAGAAGGGACGTATTCTGTGTCACTCTGGCACTGTAAACAATACAGATGAGGTCTTTTTAAAATAGTGTGACCTTTTCAATGCTGTATGGCTTGTAAAACGAATGAAGTGCTAAAGAATATAATGGTCTGTTAGGAGTGAGATTCCTTCTGTAGGGAAACTGGCATGTGTTGGACAATCTGATGAATGTGGTTTTTTGAACCATGAATTTGTCTGACTTCAACTTAAGGATGAAGAGAAAACCAGTAAAAATTTGTTTATAGTTTCAATTTTCAGTAGGGATGCCGAGTTAGTATGTTCAATTACGAAATTATCAAAAAAGCAAACTTTTTAGCACATTTATCTGATTTACGTGTTAATGATTTAGGTTTGAACATACAATCATGTATTTGAATCTCTCTCGTCAGTATATGATGTTGAAATGAGATGTTCTTTGACAGGAAAGACAGGAACTGAATTTTCAGTGTGTGAATGTTGCTTCAGTCCATTTAACTAACTCCCAAAAACCACCTGGACTCTTTTCCTCTACCAAGTGCTCTCTCATCTGTTCTCTTTTCATGTTTTTCTCTCATTTCTTCCCCCTTCACCTCAATGGGTCAGCGAGAGTACCATGATGGTCATAGCTGGATGTCTGTAAAATGGGCGGGGGGTTTGAGGACCACCAGCACCCCCTACCAAACACAAGCTCCATTCACCCTGCTGGGCTTTGAAGTCCTCTCGAGTGTCTCTGGCCACTGTATTGTCAGGCTAATGCAGAATGTTGCCCGATTGTTGGGGCAATTTGATTTTTAATTAGTTGAAGATGACACAGGCAGGATGGCAGGTATGCAAACAGTTATTACTCCCACCCACAACGGGTTGCATCAATGTATCGACTCCCATACACGCATCTTCCTCCTCAGGCTTCCTTTATTTCTGTGTGAACACCTGCTTTCATCTTGTAGTGAAAACAAACACACCAAAGGCAATTATGAAGCACTATTGTAATGGTGCCAGTGAACATGTACATAGACGTTTTAGTCTCAAAACCCAAAGGAGCCAAAGGTTAGTCTGTCTTGTTAATCTTTTCTCCTTTTGTTTTATTTCGTTTTTTTGTTCAAATACTTGGAGAATCCCACAGTAATACCAAATGAGCTGTAGCCTAGCGGTTAAT